TACTGGGTGCTGCTGCCAGGCAGACCTCAGCACCACAGCACCCACAGGAAGTGTATGAGTCAGGCATCAAAGCCCAGCACAGAGGCCACCCCGAGGTCCCCAGCCCTGGCCATGCTGAGTGGTCCCCAGGCCATTCCATGCCTTCCTGTGCCCCCAGCAAGCCGCCTGACCTGTGTGGGCCAGAGCTTCCTTCTCCTGGGGTTCATCAGAGTGGCTGCCAGCTGCAAACCCCGACTGTCTGGGGGTCCCCAGGGATGGGCAGGTGTTACTCAGTGCTCACATCAGAGGGGAAGCTGAGGCTTGGAGAGACACAAGCAAGTCAGTCCCTGAGCCACCTGCCCACAGAGAAGGGCTCTCGGAGGTCCTCCTTTGGCATGGCTGGCCCCAGCCGAGGCTCTGCTGGTAGATGAGGCAGGACCCGTTGAGATCAAACGGCCCCCTCTTCTGCTTCCCTGAACTCTGCCCCATCCCACACTCAGCACCAGAGCCTGGATGCTGGGCATCGCTGCCCCAAGGCACAGAATTGCAGCGGGGATCAAAAAACTCGAGAATCAAGATTCTCTCTGTAATATTTTTACAAATGAAAATTAATGTAAAAATATCCGCGGATTAGGTTTAACTGCTGTTGTAATTACGGAGCAGTTTGGATCAGCACAGTTACCCTTCCAGACGTGGAGGGCCAAGGACGGATCCGGGGTCAACTGAAGACCCCGAGGTCCAGCCAGCCTGCCCTGCATGGTCCTCCATGCTCTGCCGTGCTGTCCTCATCTGGCCTCCTCACCTGTGCAGTCTGTGTCCCCTTCGTCCCTTCTCGGGCCCTGTGAGCACCCTGGCCAGCCAGGGGCCCAGGACTAGCCAGAGGCCGGCTCCAGGTTCCTTTTCCCGTGCTAGGTATTAGGAGCCAGCAGGGAGCACCTCCCTCTCCTCTCCCTGGCCGGGTCCTGTTGAAGTCACCCCCCAACCCTTGCAGACGCTGAGCTCCCCCTGCCAGCCTTGTAGAGCACCGGGTGCAGCTGGCCCCTCTGTGCCAGCTGGTTCAAGCCTGGACCCCATCCTGGCTCTCACAGCACCCTAGAAATGAGCTGCTGGATTCTTCCCAGAATCCACTCTGTGAAGAACACAGCACCAGCAGGACAGTCAGGGTGTGTGCCACTTACCGGCTGTGTGACCCCTGGCCTCAGCTGCCCTCTCTGTGAAGCGGAGATGTCCAAGGGTCTCTATCGCGGGTGCCCAGGGAGGTGATGAGGTCGGAGCTGCACCCAGTCCCTGGTTCTAGGATGCTGGCCCCAGGCAGGCAGAGCTGCAGAGGGTCTGGGCCGGCGCCCCCTGGCCAGCTGACTCAGCGCCGGTTACCTAACCTCCGGGCGGCCCCTGGCACACCTGTCCCCCGCCCCCAGGTGAGGCTGAGCAGAAGCTTGGCCGGCAGGATCCAGGGTCCCTGGCTGCGAAGGGTCCCGGGAGCAAGAAGGCCACAGCTGCGGACTCAGGGGGGACGCAGCGCTTCCCAGCCCCGGCCGGGCAAGACTCTACCTGCCGCGTGCCGGGCATTCCAGCGCCGCCGCCCTCTGCGCGCCCGCGCCGCCCCGCCATGGGCTTGATGCCGGCCGCGCAGGGCTCCTCCCGGGCCCGCGCCTGCCCGCGGCCGCCCTGCCGCCTGCCCGCCTGCTGCGCGCCCGCAGCCCCAGGTATACCGGGCCCGGGGCGAGGGCCGGGGGCTGGGTGTCTGGGCGGAGGCCACCGAGGGCAGCACAGGGGAGCAGGGACTGTGACCCCAGGAGCCTGGCAGGGCTGCTTGGGCCTCAGCAAGCCACCGCCCAGGGGAGGGGATCCCCTCTGCCTGAGGCTGCCGCCCACATCCCCCCACCACCTCTTGTTTCTGCCGGGGAGGGTGAGGACCGCAGCGGGGATCCAGGTGAGATTTAGGCGCTCGGCCTGCAAGGCACAGGCTGTGCAGTGTTCAGGGTGGGGTCCTGCGGGGTGACAGGGACAGTCCCTCCGTGCACGGGTGCACAAAGGCGGGCTGGGTGCCAGGAGTCCAGACCTAGAGTGGGGAGCACTGGGGTCAGGAGAGAAACCAGCATTACTCAGCTCTGTGGCTTCCCGGAGCGCGTGGGCAGCCTCCTTCCTGGCCACCCCTCAGAGAGCCCGGACAGGCTGTGGCCCAGCCCGGCCTACGCACAGCCCCAGATTTGTGCCAGACACTCCCAGCTGCCTTCCTCCCCTGCTGGCAGCCCTGAGAGTCCCTGTGCGGAGCTGGTGTGCTGCCCCGTGCAGAGGCAAAGTCCAAGGCTCAGGTCACCTGGGATACAGGTGACAGCCAGGCAGGCCTGTGGCCTCCTGAGCTCGCTCCACCTCCCTGGAGAGTGGAGTCAGCGGGGTGCAGCTGCTGAGCCTCGGCCCTGCGCCCATCTGTGAGTTCATCCCCAGGGCAGCCCTGCCAGTTTCCTTCGGGTGCTCTGTGGAGTGTAGGCCGGCTCCTGGAGGAGCCGCAGCCTGGTGGAGCTGCCAGCTACCCGATCCAGCAGACCTGCCGGGTGGCTGTTGGCAGGAGGACCCGGGGAGCCCCACGGAGGGTTCTCCCTGCCGCCCAAGCAGCTGGCACGCTGGCCTCATGGCAGTGCCAACCAACCCTGTGCCACAGGTGTGGGCCGGGCGCCTGAACTCACCCACCCAGATCCAGGGGCAGCGGCTTCCCTCCCAGCCAGAGCTCCGCCTCTGCTGGCTGTGTAGGTGGCCCAGCCAATCCCAGGCCTGGGGGCTTGATCTGCAGAAGGACGGGGTCTTACCTAGGGGTCTGCGCACCAGTGTGGGCGGCAGGGGTGACTTGGGATGTCCTCTGCACCTGCTGCTGGAGCGTCAGGACCCACACCTTGACCCAGCCACCTGGGAGGTGGACGTGGGCACCGTCTCCCGCCCTGCTGCCCTCCTAACAGCCAGGGTAGCACTGGTGATGGTTGTGGTCCTAGAGTCACCGTGCCACCTGGGAGTCAATGTGGACCTGGGTGTGCAGTGCTCAGAACAGTACTTGTGCCCATGACCTCAGCATGCCTCCTCACACATGTGTACACATGTACACATAAGCCCACATGCACACTGTGAACACACATGTGCACATATGTGCAAAGCACGCATGCATGTGCGTGCAGGGTGCACGCGAAAGCCCAGTGGCGTCTGCGGTGTCCACACTGATGACCCACAGCGTGCTTCTGGAGAGGAGGCTTCCCCCCTACAATTTTGTGGCCTTTGTCTTTGGGCCAGCAGCGGGATGAGCCTGGTGATTCCAGCTGTGTCCTAAGCATTGTATTAGGGACTGGTCTTTTTGGGGTTTCTGGGGATGGAACCCAGGGCCCTCTGCACATTGGCAGGAGTCTGCCTTTGGGCCGCACTCTGGGACCAGGACTGACGTGTCGTAGCTCACAGCAGCCCCTGTGCAGGAGTGGCATCGCTGCTGGAGGACAGATGGCTGTCCTCGATGGCTGGCGTCCTTGCAGGCCACAAGGGACAGCGTGGAACTTGGGCAGTGTGCCCTTGGGGCACCCCAAAGCCACCCTGCAGGAAGATCTCCATGTTGTGTATCTGAGCTATGCCCTGCAGAGACCTCACAGAGCTCAGGACGAGGGGTTCCCTTTCTTCTGCTGCTCAGTGTTGGGGCACAGAGCCTCCTCCCCCTCTGTCTGAGCTAGAGGAGACTTTGGAGCCAGGCACGTGTTTTCTCAGCCAGGCTTGCTCAGCCCCCTTCCTCTCTCTCTGTGTTCAGGCGCATGTTTGCCGCCATGTCCTGTGTTAGGTGTTTCAGAGCCTGTCTTCTCGGTGTGATTTTGGTCTGGAAACAGCATTCCTAGCACCCCAGAAGCCCTCGAGAGCCCTCCAGTCCCCTAAACCCCACCCGCCCCAATATCCTGGCCTGATGGCACCAATCGGTTTTGTTATTTTTAATTTCACGTGAATGGATGTACCAAGCGTACACTCTACATTTGAGGGACCCTTTAGAAAGCGGACAGTCCAGAGGTGTTCAAGCCGTTGACAACCATCACCACCATCCACCTCCAGAATTTGGGGGGAGGGTGGTTCTAGGGATTGAACTCAGGGGTTACTACTGAGCTACATCTTTGGCCCTCCCTCTTCAGTGTATTTTTTATGTGTTTGAGACTGGGTCTCACTGACTTTGCCCACGTGGAGCTCAATCTTAGGGTTCTCTTGTCTACACCTCCACAAATGCTGGGATTCCAGGCATGCACCACCGTGTCCAGCTGCCCATCCCCATGAAACTTGGTCCCCATGAACCCTTAAGCCTGTTCCTCATCTCCAGTGTCTGATTTTTGCCGGTTTGGAGGGATCACACGGGGTGTATTTGCCGTTCCGAGAATGCCAGTGGCTGTCTACATACTGCCCTCAGGTCTTTGGGGTTCGCTGGCATCAGTCAGACCTCTTACTTTTAAACCTGCTGGCGTTCTGTTCTGGACCTGACGTTGCTAGCCGTCTGCCCTGACAGGCGCCTGTCACTGTTGTAAGCAGGGCTGCTGCCCACACGGGGTGCAGGGTCTCTTGGGACCTGCTTCCGGTGCTCATCCCCATGGTGGCTCTGCTGGCACTGACCAGCGGTGCTGCCACAGGACAGTGTTCTCTGCATCTGTGCGCTGTCTGCACTTGTGTCCTTATTCCGCAGTGTGCTCTCGAGGGCTGCAGGCCGAGCTGTGGTTGGGGTTTCCCGGTGCTCCTGTGTGGGGCGACTGAACTGTCACTCAGTCTCAGTCATCACGGTGGATGATGCATGCTCCCAGGGCTGCTGGCTTCTGGCTTGCATGAGATCTGCAAGCCGCCGTGCCCATCGGCTCTGGTCCGGGTTTTGGGGCTGCCACCCCTGTATGTGTCCCCCAGTGTCTAATGCATTTCCCAAGGAAGAACCTCCTCCAGCCCTGGGGGCCCTGTGCTGTCCCTGCTGCCCGCCTCCTGCCACTGCCTAGGTGGTGGAAGGTGTGACCCGCCCCTCTCTGTGCCAGGGATCTTCGGGCAGCGGCTGGAGGACACGGTCTACCACGAGCGGAAGTACGGCCCCCGGCTGGCCCCGATGCTCGTAGAGCAGTGCGTGGACTTCATCCGGGAGCGAGGGCTCACGGAGGAGGGCCTCTTCCGGCTGCCCGGCCAGGCCGACCTGGTGCGGGGCCTGCAGGACTCCTTTGACTGCGGTGAGAAGCCGCTCTTCGACAGGTGAGTGCTGGGGCTGGGCGGGCGGCACTCAGGAAGCCCACTACTGTGGTCAGCAGCTTGCTCACATGGGCACTAGCAGGCACACCAGCCCTCCTGGGGCACAGAGCCTGGGTTCCCTCCAGGATGAGCCCAGTGACAGTGAGGCCCATGGGCAGGAGGGAAGAGGGCATCTGCTGACCACCAGGCTAGACGAGGTCAGGCACAGGCGTGCTGAAGGTTTTGACTCTGCCTCCCCTGGGCGATCGGTGCCCCCTAAGTGGCAAAACAGCAGGGATGCTTGCTCCCCGTCTACCCTAGCCCATCCCTGGAGCTTACTCATGGCCCAGGTGTTCTCTGCAGGTGCCACTGCATTTACAGCCCAGCTCGGAGGCTGGAGGGCCTTAGCTGTTCAGGGTCTCGTTTCCCTGGAGGCGCAGGAGCTCCATCCTAACCCTGGCTCTCGGGGAGCTCCCAGCAGCTACAGCCAGCTCCTCCTGTCCCGAGCCTGTGGGCCTGCTGTCGCGTTGGGGATCCTCCAGACACACATGCCTGGGTAGGTCCCAGGCACCTGGGTTTTCAGAAGTTCCCCTAGACAGGATCCCTGGCCCTAGTGTTCTTTACGACCAGAAGGGCAGAGCCTCTCCCAGGGTGCAGCCTGTCACTTGCCAGGGGGTCTGTCCATGACCACCGTGCACCATGAAGCTGCTGCCTACTCCTCCTGCATCAGGAGCCCCCAGGCTGCAAGCCGCCTGGGGCCAACCTGTTTCATACACTCCCTGTGGAGCTCCTCCCCCCGCCATCCACGTTGTCCTGCGCACTACAGAGGGTCCCTGGGGTGTGAGACGTTCGTGGATCCCCAGAACTGGGGGATAACAAGAACGCTGCAAACGGGGGACCCTGGCTGCCTCATGATCTGCCTCCTGGTGGGGATGTGGGTAGCGAGGGCCCCAGGCTGGGCCTGCCGATCACTGTGCCCACCGTGCCCTGGCCTGGCTCCCCCGGCAGCACTGGCTGAGGCCCCAGGTTGGCAGGTGCCCCTTTGTGCTGGTCGGAGGGAGGGGGATGCAGGAAGAAGCCTTGGACCAGCAGCTGCTGGAGGGAACATCTCTGCAGGCGAGGAGAAGGCGGAGGTCAGGGCACCATGAAGCTGACCAGCAGGGCTGGGGGAGGAGGACTGCAGAACCAGGGCTCGCCGTGCCCAGAACAGAAGTGGCTCGGGCCTTTCTACTGCCCGCTTGTTGTGGCACATGCCTTTCTGCAATACTGCCTCTGACCCCACTGTCCTCCTCTGTGGCTGCTGCCACTGAGTCCACTGGGGCTCCAGAGGACAGGGGACCCTGGGCTCAACCTGGCACCCCAGGTATGGCCAGCCAAGGTGGCCCAGGCGAAGTCAGTGATGGACACACAACAGCACACTTGGGTGGAGCAGGGAGGGTAGGGCAGGGAGGGGCCCTGCACGTGTAGCTTTGGGGCGCACGTTGGCATATGGAGCCCCAGAATCCTGGATGTCAGAGCCAAAGACAGCCAGAGCTGATTTTTTTTTTTTTTTTTGTCTTTTTCCTTTTTATCAGTACCAGGGATCGAACTCACAACTGCCTGCTTTACAAGGCAGGTGTTTATGCCACTGAGCTAAATCCCTAGACCCCCAGAGCTGATCTTGATGAGGCTATCATGGGACATGGCCAGGGCTAGTAGCATGTTAGTGGCCACAGCGTCCTGGCCCTGGCCTGCCTTTGCTGAGGGTCTCCCCAAGGGAGAGGCAGGGGTGGGTTTCAAACAGGCCCTGGGGAAGCAGAGGAACTTCCGGGGCCCAGGTCGAAGCTGAGGTGCAGCTTGGTGGAGAGACTGGCTGTGGACCAAGGACTGCCACTGGGCCCATCAGAACCCAGGGAGGGAGCCAGCCCTGCCATGGGAGCATCCATCCTGGGCAGCTCCAGACCACATGCCGGGAACTGAGGCCTCGCAGTGAGTCACAGGGCTCCAGAGACAGGGTGACAAGCACGGACGCCTGAGTGTGGACAGGAGGCAAGAGGCCAGGGCCTTGCCTGTGATGTCACTGCAAGGCTAGCGGCCAGCCCGGGAGCTGAGTAAGTGCAGGCTGGGCCCGGCACCCAGGGAGTGGGCACCTCTGTGCTGCCCTGCGGGGAATATGGGAAATGGCCTCCAGGAGCTTGACTGCAGAGCGGAGACCACTGGGGGATGTGCTGTGTGTGTCACTGCCCAGCCCCTGGATCCCAGGCCTCACGCTGTCCCCTCTACCCCCAGCACGACAGATGTGCACACCGTGGCGTCCCTGTTAAAGCTGTACCTTCGGGAGCTGCCCGAGCCTGTGGTCCCCTTCGCCAGGTATGAGGACTTCCTCAGCTGCGCCCAGCTGCTCACCAAAGATGAAGGCGAGGTCAGTGCCCCAGGGCCGTAGGGAGGGGCTGGCCGGCTGTAGGCACGTGGGGTCTGGACCCAAGGTCCTTAGCTCCAGGGCCATACTCATGCTGCCCAGGAGCCTGGTGTTTGTGGGAGGAGTGGCTGGGAGCATCCTTCCCGTGTGTGTGTGTGTGTGTGTGTGTGTGTGTGTGTGTGTGTGTGTGTGTGTGGTAAGGGGGTGAGTTGGTGCATCCTGCTGTCTTCTGAAGTTGGGGGTGTACTTCGTCATACCCTGCCCTCTGTGCCCCGCACCCTACCATGTCCAGACCTCGGTGTCTGAAAGGGTCAGGTGCTCCCAAAGGCCACGTAGGTCTAGGGTGTCCAGCTGTGGCCGTGTCATGGTGGATGCTCCCTTCTGGACGCCTTCTCCCGTGCTCGGCTCAGGCCACCCAGGCCTGGGGTTTGGAAATATAGACAGCTTCCACCTGCTTCTGTCCCACCCGCCCTGGAAAGAATTCAAGGGTATTAAGGACAGAGGGGGGCAGATGCCGTCCGCCATTTGGGCACTGGTGCAGGGGAAGCAGTGCGCCTTCCCTGTTGCCTGCAGGAGAGCAGGGCTCTTACCTGACAAATGTCTGTGCCTTGCTAGTGAGCTGAGACATTCCTGTGTGTCCTCCACAGCAGCCCACCCTGCACCGGAGCCCTGGAGGTCACAGAGTGGCCACCACTCGGTGCAGAGGACAGAGGTGGTCGGGGCCCTGGCTGCCACCTTTCCCCTCGTCCAGCCCAACCTGGCTGGTGGTGTGAGCTGTTTTCTCCTTTCCCAAGGGCACCCTGGAGCTGGCCAAGCAAGTGCACAACCTTCCCCAGGCCAACTACAACCTGCTCAAATATATCTGCAAGTAAGTGGCCGGCGTGGCCCCTTTCAGCCCTGGCTCAGCACTGCTTCCCTGCCAGAGGGGCCGGGCAGACCTCTGCACCTTGGGGAGAGACAGGAAGGCACCGCCCAGCTCAGGGGCCTGCAGTCCTGCGGGAGTGGCTCAGTCCAGAACGGTGCCCTTCCCACCCCGCACATCTACGGTGATCACAGCCCCACTGCAGGGGGTAAAGCCCCGCATCCTTCTTTGTGCCCCTGGGCTCTGGCCTTTGTGCCCCTGGCCTTTGTTGATGATGCCCCCTGGCTATAGTAATCCAGCTCAGGTGGGGCGCTAGAAGCCTGGGGGCGTGGCTAAGCGGGGAGGGGCGGGGCCGTGACGGTGGGCGGGGCCGAGCTGGAGTAGGGCCCTGGCCCTTGCTTGTTTCCCAGTTTCCTGGTTTCTTCGCCTTTCTGGGCAGGTTTCTGGACGAAGTGCAGTCCCACTCGGATGTCAACAAGATGAGCGTGCAGAACCTGGCCACCGTGTTTGGACCTAACATCCTGCGGCCGCAGGTGGAGGACCCGGTGACCATCATGGAAGGTGCAGGGAGGGAGCTGGGCCTTGGGTCACCTTGGTCCAGGGCAGAACCGTGGCTCAGGTCCCCAGACCTCCCAGACCTCTGGGAGCAGCGCCCTTGGGGCTGGCAGGGGTAGGGTGCCAGGCCCCCAGGCTGCAGAGAGCCGCTCCTCGGCCCTGCAGAGGGAGGGATCCAGCCCAGTGGACCAGAGGGCTTGTGGCCTTGCACACACACAGGTTTGCTTCACTTTCACAAGGAGGAAGTTAACCAGGTTCTTGGATGTCACAGCTTTGAAAACCCTGTTGCTTTGCTTTGATAAATAATAGCATTGTTTTTTGAAAGCAACCTAGATAGTGAGGCTGAGGCAGGAGATTGCTTGGTAAGATGAGCCTGAGGCTAGCTGGGCACTGTAACAAGGCCGAGTTTGTTTTAAAAAGCGGCAGTGGCTGCTCCCTTTAATAGGCCTCTACTTAGTGCTTTTTTTTTTTTACATTGTTTATTAGTACAGTTACATTCACTGTGAGTGGCTGGTGCATGTACATAGCGCATTGTAATTCTTTTTACTTCCCCTTCTGGTCCCCTCCTTCCCTCTTTCCGCCTCTGGGTTCCCTTCCCATTGCAAAAGGTCTTGTTTTCTGATATCCATCTTTTAATTTGCTCTTCAGATTATTTATACTCCACGTTTCTCATAGAAGGGAAACCACGCGCTATTTTAAGCTGTCCGATTGATTTCAGTTAACATGACGGTTTCAAGTGCCTCCATGGAGGCATCGTGCGTGGAGACGGAGGTTGCTTGGAAGGTTTAGCTATCCTGAGCCACGCTGCTATGAGCCACGCTGCTATACACACGGTGTCCACGTGTCACTGTCATACGAGGCACTCAGCTCCTTCAGGGAGACACCCAGAAGGGGAATGCCCGGGTCAGGTGGAGTTTGTAGCGTTAGTTTTTGGAGGACGCCGCACGCCGACTTGCACAGGGGCTGCACTAGGCTACGCTCCCACCCGCAGTGGAGAAGGCATCCCCGCGCCCCCACAGCTCCACAGTTTCACTTTGCATTTCTCCAACGGCCGAAGATGCTGACCGTTTTTATGGACCGTTTGCCCTTCTGAGAAGTGTCTGTCTCAGTTGCCCATTTTTTTTTGAGAAAGTCTTTATGTTTTTAGGGGGTCTAATTTCTTGAGTTCATTGTATATTCTAGCTGTTAGCCCGCCGTCCGGCATGGCTGGCGGAGGTTCTGTGCCATTCTTAGGCTGTGTCTGCATCCTGTTCCCTTGGTTGTGCAGAAGCTTGATAGGACCTCATTCGGTGTTAGTTGCTATCTTTTCTTTTGCAGTTGTTCAGAAAGTCCATTCCCACTCCTCTGTCTTCGAGAGGTTCACCTGTTTTGTCTTCCAGCAGATTTAGTGTTTCTATGTTAACATTCAGGTTTCTAATCTACTTTTAGTTTAGTGCATGGTAAGAGGTGGTGTCCAGGCTCAAAGTGTTTAATCTGTCCATTTCAGTCCTCACCAGCAACCTGGGCTGTGATGATCACCCTCGTTTTACCGAGGAGTTGGGGCTCAGAGGCCCAGCCATCCTGCCCGGCCCTGGCTGCCTGAGGGCCCAGCTCCTTACAGGGCTTGGCCATCAGACCACATGGTGGTGTGGGGTTTTGTGGAGCTGAACTGGCCCCCAGAGGGGTGGTGCTCTGGCTTAGGTCCTCTGAAGCCAGGAAGCCCAAGCCTTCACCTGCCTGACGTCAAGGTGGCCTGTCAGGCATAGAGGCGTGAGCCACCCTGCTGTGCAGCAGCGAAGCCCTTGCATAATTCCTGGGTCCTTAGCTACCTTCTGGGCCCGGGTCCACGGGGTGCTCAACTCTCCTGACCTCTCAACAAGCCTCTGTCTCTGGTCTTTGGTGATGAGGCTGCTGGGCAGATAGCAAAGCCCATCCTGTATGCCCACCTTCACTGCTGCCCCTCCAAAGCCACAGGAGCTGAGGCCCCAGAACAGGGTCTGGAGGCTACATCTCAGCACAAAGGGGCTGTGGGGGTGTGTACGTGTGTGTGTGTTTGGGGGTGTGTGCCACACCTGTAAGACAGCCCTGGGCCACCGGAGTGGACAGCTGTACAGGTGCGCATCCCATGTCTAGGCCGTAGCAAACCTGGCCACTTCTGGCCACTCACAGCAAAGCCTGTCTCCTCTCTCCGGCAGGCACCTCCCTGGTCCAGCACCTGATGACCGTCCTCATCCGTAAACACAGCCAGCTCTTCACGGGGCCCACCCCTGAGGGCCCCCCCATATCGCTGCACAGGGGCTCACCGTGCACTGTGGGCTGGGGCTCTGAGGAGACCAACAAGGACAGCCAGGGCGATCTTGGAGACCCCAGCCTGCTTACGCATAGGACCTCGTCCCTGGATGGGCCATCCGCTGCGGCGCACTCTAGGACATCAGCTGAGGCCCAGGACAGCCCCAGGAAGAGGGTGCAGACTCTCCCCAGCTGGAAGTCATCCTTCCACCATCGGGGACCTCGGTCAGCAAGCCCACAGGGGGCCGGTGTGTCCCTGGACGTGCCTGTGGCCTCCAGTGGTGGCAGCCGGGGTAACTGGCTCATGAACGGGCTGTCATCTCTGCGCGGCCACCACCGGGCCTCATCAGAGGACTGGCTCAAGGACTCTGGCTCCACGCAGAGACTGTCCACCTACGACAATGTGCCCCCGCCCAGCCTCTTTCCCAGCATGGCCAGTGTGGCCAGCACCATGTGGTCCCCTGCCTCATCACCCCGTGACGCCTCCATCAGCAGCTGCACGGCTTGCAGGGCCAGCAGCTCATCGGCCAGCAGCTCCCTGCACACCGAGTGGGCTCTCGAGCCGTCCCTGCTCCTCAGTAGCAGCGGTGAGGACCACAGGTCCCCTGACCCGGCCTGTGACTTGGACGAGGCAGGGGTGGGTGACAGCAGCAGCCAGGAGCCCAGCACCCCCAACAGCCCTGTCCAGGACCCTGCACACCGCTGCCGGGCGCTCCAGAGCCTGGTGGCCGAGCTGAGGGCGGAACTGTGCCACCAGCGGACCGAGTACGAGGCGAGCCTGCGAAGGTAAAGGCTGGCTGAGGTGCAGGCGAGCCCTGCCTTGTGCGGCCTGGGGAGCAGCCTGCGCTGTTGGGTGGGGACAGGCATGTCTGTTCCAGCTGCTGACCCGCAGGCCCGCTGAAGGCCTGGGCAAGGCCATACTCTCATGTCGAGGCAGCCTGGCTTGGGGGCCCTGCTGTGCTGTGGATCCCACAGCCCAAGCCCAGGACTCCAGGGCCAGTGCTGGGCAGTGATGTGGGGTCACATGCACATGGGTCCCTGTCCTTCCTCCCCTTTGCAGAGAGTACACTGCAGCTCAGAGACAGCAGGCACAGGCGTCCCCCAGCATACTGCCAGGCCCCTGCCAGCTGTGTGACCCAAGAGACAAGCATCCACCCAGCAGGGCCCACAGCACCCAGCAGGGCCCACAGCACCCAGCAGGACCCTCAGCACCCAGCAGGGCCCACAGCACCCAGCAGGACCCTCAGCACCCAGCAGGGCCCTCAGCACCCAGCAGGGCCCTCAGCACCCAGCAGGGCCCTCAGCACCCAGCAGGGCCCACAGCACCCAGCAGGACCCTCAGCACCCAGCAGGGCCCTCAGCACCCAGCAGGACCCTCAGCACCCAGCAGGGCCCACAGCACCCAGCAGGACCCTCAGCACCCAGCAGGGCCCTCAGCACCCAGCAGGGCCCTCAGCACCCAGCAGTGCCCAGTAGTGCCCATAGCACCCAGCCGGGCCCACAGCACCCAGCAGGGCTCTCAGCACTCAGCAGGATCCATAGCACCCAGCAGGGCCTGCAGGGTCCATGGCCCATCCATGGCAGTGGACATGGAAGGTGTGCCTGCTCCCCTCTGCCCTGGGTTCCTCCAGGGGCCAGGAGGGTACTGTGTGGCCCCTTTGCTCTGCTGGAAGTGTCCTCTGGGCACCAAGGGGCAGGGCAGGACAGGGCAGGCAGCTGTGTCCAGCTGGCACTTGAAGGCTGGTAGATGGACTGCGGCCGGGAGAGGAGAAAGGAGATGGGCAAGCCAACTAGGGCCCGAAGTGGGGTCCGCACGCCAAGGCCTGCTGTGAGGTGGCCCTGCAGGCTGCAGGCTGGCCAGCTCGCAGGTCACAGGAAGGGGGACCAAAACACTGGCCAGGGGTGCTGGGGGTGGCCAGCCTTTTCCCTGGGCACCTGTGGGGCCACCTCAAGTGCTCCCCAGTGGAGGCAGGGTGCTGTGTGGTGAGAGTTCTGTCTCAGGCTGCCTGTGACCCCAGCTGACAAGTGCCAGCTGTGTCTCACCACGATCACTGTCCCGAGCTTGGCCCAGCACTACACACTGTTCCCAGGGCTCAGGAGCCCAGGCTGCCTGGGTCATTTCAGCTCGGTGCCCGGAGGAAGATGAGGTTCCCAAAGACCTGTGGTGTCCTCACCAGCAGGTGGCCAGATGTCCTGTTGTCTGCCTAGAGCAGATGCTGTGCGGTGGACCCTGCTGTGACCAAATCCCCACCCTCCTTATTTGGGAGGACAGGACAGAAGGGCCATGGCCCAAGCAGGTTTCCTGAGCCTGGACTGCCTCTGGAGGTCGAGGAGGGAGGAAGGCAGTAAAAGGGGGTGGGGGAGAGGACCCCAGAGCCACAGCAGCGGCCAGCAGCGGCCACTGGTAGGGCCTTGGGCCTGGCAATGCTCAGGCCTATTGAGAGGGAGGGAGGTGGGCATGAACGGGATGCCATGGATGAACGTAAGCACTTCGGTCCCTTTGATGGTGCATCTGACTACCATGCAGAGCTTGCGGGCCCCGGGGTGGCTCAGACAGAAGACAGAAGGGACCAGGCCCACTGGTGGGTGGAGCGGGCCACAGAGGCGGCTGTGGAGGTGGAAGCAGCACCCAGACGCAGCATGTCTAAGGGGGAGCAGATGGGTTCTGTGGGCTATGGGGTGCAAAAGGGAACACGTGTAACACGGGGCCGATGGTGTGGCCTGCAGGTGACGCCCCTAGGGTCACAGGGTAGCTGGAGCAGAGGCGCTCAGTGCCCTTTGAGCAAGCCAGGTTAGGGATCAAGAGCGGGACATGGTCATCCAGGGGTGGCAGAGAAGACCAGGAGGACCAGGACCCCAGCCAGCACAGCGGGGCAGAGAAGACCAGGAGGACCAGGACCCAGCCAGCACAGCAGGGCTCTGGGAAGAGGCAGGTGGTCCCGCTTTCTGACTGCGAGGCCTCCTCCAAGGCCTGTGCTCACTGCTGGGCTGCAGCTGTGTGGTCACTGGGGTCTGTCTCGTCACTGCCGTGGGGCTTATTACAGTCAGCTGGGTTCCTAGCTCCGGCCAGTGTGTGGTCCCAGGGGACAGGCAGAAGGACAGACATGTGCAGCATGGAATAAGCCGCAAGGCACAGGAGGGAAGGCCAGGGGAGAGTCCCCCACAATCCTCAGTGGGGCAAGTGACCTGGCAGGTGACAGGGCTGGTCCAGCAGCCCTGTGTTTCACCGAGGACTCCCCGAGGCCTCCATTCCCATCTCTGAGGGTGTGGGTCCTCAGGTGGCATTTCTGGCTCCCAGGGTGGGGTGGCCACTGGCTCACGGGCTCCTGTGGTGCAGGCAGGTCGCTCCCTGCCCCAGTGAATTCCCAGGGCTGCCCCTGCCAGGATGGTGCTTCCAGGGCTCTGAAACTGTGTCTTCTTGGTGTTCAAGCATCGAAGAGGGCAGTGCAGAGCTGCGGGGACAGCTGTCTCGGCTGGAGGAGGAGCTGGACCAGGAGCGGAAGAAGCACTCCATGCTGGAGATCAAGCTGCGGAACTCGGAGCGGGCGCGGGAGGACGCCGAGCGCCGGAACCAGCTGCTGCAGAAGGAGATGGAGGACTTCTTTTCCACACTGGGGAGCCTGACCGTCGGGAGCCCAGGCGCCAGAGTCCCCAAGTGAAAGGACCAGAGGGTGCACTAGCACAGAGACTGATCCGCGCCCCCCCCCCCCTCCGTGGGACTTTGGGGACCCCCACACCCAGGCAGGATCTGCTGCTGCTCCCTCCAAGACTGCTCAGGGTTGGGATAGACGGCAACTAGAGCGGCTTTTAATCTCCAAACCAGGCTCTGGGAGCAGCCCGCCCACAGTGCCCAGGGCCGCGAGCTGTGCCCAGGAGCCATCCTGCTCTTCATTAAATGCGCGCTGACAGCACGGTGCATCCTCTTGCTTCGTTCTTTGGCTGTGCCAAGTGGGGTTCACCAAGTAGGGTCTCAAAGTGCTGGGGGTCCTGGGGTGGGGACCCGGCTCCACAAGGAGCTCCAGCCTGGACTCCAACACCCCGTCCCCCAGGCCGCCCTGTCCTCTACCCCGTGCTCCCTGTCGGCCTCTGCAGCTCGCTTCTGCCTGCGAGCGCAGCAGGGGTGGTCCTCCCCTGTCCACTCTCTATCCCTGGGGCACTCCAAAGACCTCAAGCCCCTGCCTCGGAGGCCCACAACACATGGCAGGCTGTGCAGGAGGAACTGGCTGGCACGCAGCAGGGAACGCGCTGCTGTCCTTCCCTGTGCTTGGCCAGTGTCCTTACACATCGCCTCCCGTCAGCTCCCAGCAGTAGCCAGGGTGGTTTTCGGGAGTGGCAGGCACAAAGCATCCCAGTTTCTACTGATGTCCCTTGGAGGTGTCATTCAGATCCAGACAGCCATTGCCCTGGAGTCAGGTCCGATGACCGAGAACACAGGCTGAAGCGCAGGACTGGCTGAGAGTGGCCCAGGCCCTGTGTCCTCCGCTGCCCATTGTGAAGGGCAGCCTCTGCCAAGCTCAGGCTGCCAGCTGGGCCTCCGTAGCCAGGGCTTTGTGGTTAGAGGAAACATCTGCCTCTGCCCTCGAGCTGTCTTGAGGATGGAGGCTCTGTCTGCCCCCATGTGAGGAGAAAGAGCAGCTCTGACCGCTCAGGACAGCTCAGCAGGACAGGAATTGGCCCTTCCTTCCTCATCAGGGGAAACCAGTGGTTTCCTCGTCACAATACTGGATCCTGCTGACCTGCATCTGGAGAGAAAAGTGCCACCAGGCAGTCAGCAGAGCAGAGCAGACTGGGGTCTCCTGTGGGCCCCGCAGGGGGAAAGGGAGCTCCTCCGTGTCAGCACTAACCCGGGCCCCGCAGCCAGTCCCAAATCCCTGACAGGCAATGGCAGTCGTGGGCCTCGCCCGCCCCCTGCTGGCCGGGTTAGGGCCTGCAGGCGCAGCTCTTGCCTGAAGGGCGGCTGGCACTATTGGTTCTGTTGCCCAGCTCTGCAGCCAGCTCTCTCCTCTCCCGCACATCTGGCTTCTGAGTGCAGAGCACGCTGGGCGCCTGTGCTGACCCCGGGTGGGCTTCTCACCTGGGGCCCTCACCCCCACCCACTGCTACGCGCCCAGTGCAGCTATGTTTACCTGTTCCCACTGTGGGCTCTAGCTGCTACTGTGTTGGCAGCATTTCAGTAACCTGCAGAATTGTGACTGAGCAGATTCTTTGAAAACCTGATGGGGTGCTTTAGACTCAGCAAAGCAAGTTACTAAAAAGTTTGTCAAGTACAGATTTGTCAATCATGCAATCACGGAAAAAGAGGAGTCTCTGCATAAACTTCCTCAAAAGTGTTTGAAATTTTGTTTGATTTTCAGCCAGAGGGTCTGGAAGATGTAGACATCTTATACAGAAAAGCTGAAAGGTTCCATGAAAAGCCTGGCGAGTGGCCAGGTGCAGTTGTGCTCACCTGGAATCCCAGCCACCTGGGAGCCCGAGGAAGGGGGCAAAGCCAGCCTGGGTGACTCAGTGGGACCTTCTTTCAAAGTCAAATAAGCAGGGCTGGGCTGGCTGTGGCTCAGTGGCAGAGCATTTGCTTTGCAAGTGCGAGGTCCTAGGTTTCAACCCCAGTACGAGGGAGGGCAGCCTGATAACATACTTTTTAAAAAAATTTGGCTGGCGATTTAGCTCAGCAGCCTAAGTGCCTGCCTTGCAAGCAGGCAGTCGTTGAGTTTGATCCCTGGTACTGATAAAAAGGAAAAAAAAAATTGGCGGGCCAGGGGTTTAGCTTAGCGGCATAAGCAGATGCCTTGCAAGAGCGACGTCATGAGTTTAATCCCTGGTACAAAAAAAAAAAAAAAAAAAAAAAAAAAAAAAAAAAATGGCCAGGTGTGGTGGCACACACCTCTAATCCTCCTGAGGCTGGAGGATTATTGCAAATTCCAGACCAGCCTGGGCTACAAAGTGAGCTCAAGTCCAGCCTGAACTGCATGGTGAGATCCTGTCTAAAAAAGACAAAAAAAAATTATATATAATTTTTAATATATATTTTATACATATATAATACAATTTTTTATATATATAAAATACAATTTTAAGGATGAGAGAAAGGGTGGGAAAGAGAAAGAGGAGGAGGGGGAGAGATGGGTCAGAAATGGGTCAGAAAGCTGGGTCAGAAATGAGCCAGGAAATTCGTTCCACACAGTAAAAGGGCTTGGGACAGAGCCCCCTACCCGTGGCTCTCCAGGCTGAGGGAGGGAGTGGCATCAGAAATGGCATCGTGTTTCTAGCACTCTCCCTCTGCTTTGGGGTCAGGACCCCACCCCGCTGGCCCCTTGTGTCCTGCACTCTGCGGAGGGACATGTGTGTCTCCTGTGAGCTTGCACCCCCCACACCCTGCTCCTGCGCCCAGGCCCACTGAGACCCACCCCCTGTGCAGGTGAAAGTCTTTCCCACCAGGCACACTGCTGCCCCTCGCATCTCCCACGCCTGGGGACACCGGATCTGTGGAGTCTCAGGGGTGCTGCAGTCTGATAAGCCATGATCACTCTGCAGGTTTGTCTTGCAGTGGGGAGCCCCAGGGGTTTTAAGGAGGGCGCTCCTCGGCGCTGTCCGGCCAGAGTCCTCAGGTCCCTTGCACACATGCCTGACTGGCTCCTCAGAAGTGCCAGTGACATTATTTACACGACCTCACAGCTGGGGCTGAAGGCCCAGGACCAGGTGCAACTAGGGAGCAGCTCCCCAGGGTGGCTGACCACAGGGCTGCATGCTGTTAGTCGTCCTGGGAAGATGCTAGCTGAGGGCTCCATCGGGCCCAGAGGAGGCTGGGCTAGGCCTGGTGGGCTCCAGGGTGAGGTCTGGGCGTGTCTAAGACGACCCAGAAGCTCTGCTTTGGGGCGGAGTCTGAGGCCACACGCAGCCCCTCTAGCCCCTGAAGTGCCACGTCAAAAGCACACAGCCCGGATCCCGCGTGCCTGCCCAGGGACCGCCCTGGGCAGCAGCAGCTGGCCAGGAGCGCCGGACAGAAGCATTCTCACCACCCCTCCCTGCTCCTCTGGACGTGTTCAGCTGGCTCTTGGCATCTGCCCAGTGCTCCAAGGGAACGGGGGCCGGGGGCCAGGTCACTCGGGGCTAGGTACGGGGTCTTCTGGCTCTGCTGCTCTTTAGGGATGGCAAGCATTCCAGATGTTAGGACATTTTTCCTTTCCAACATACCCAAAGGGGGAGGCAGCCTTTGGTTCCTATGAAGTGCCTAAGGACACAGCTGCCCTTCGGAGACAAGACAGAGCACAGCAGCTGGAAGGAAGCTCACGAGAACTCGGGGGTCACATGTCCAGCTGAGGACAGTGGGCGTCACAACAGCCGTGGACCTGCTGCGCTCTGGCCAGCGCTGACACTCAGCACAACCCCCGATCTCCTCTCAGACTTCCGATTCTCTGGCAATAAACAGACTCACGAGAGCAAAGCCACTTGGCATAACCAGAGCATGGCTCCGTGCCACTCTGGGCCTGTGGCCTGCCGCTGACACTCACAGAGCCACGGCGACCTCACAGTGGGCCGTGCATGTCCTGCTCAGGCTCCCCCTAGGGCAGAAAGCTCATGGCCAACGGTCCTGGGTATCTGCCTCCCCAGGCTGACAGGCTGGACCCTGAAGTCCCTGCCCAGGGGGCGGGCTCTTCTTCCAGGGCATCTAGGGGGGATCAGCTGCGGGTGGGCACACAGGACGCCCCCAAACCCCACATGGGGAAGGCAACACAGCCCATCCTGGCACTCAAGTGGTTGCGATAGACTCAGTGAAAAAGTGCACACGTGTGCACACGGCTGGCTGGCAGGAGACCCTGGGTCACACGCGTGCACTTTGCTCTGCAGTCCTGTTCCCTGAACCCTAACTCTTCAGCCTCACCCCACAACTTCCTCACGTGCCTCCCCTTCAGGAACACCCACCCTCTTCACCTTCAGTGTGGCCCTCACCTGTGCCCCGCCCCATGTCTCTCAGCAAGGTCCTCAGTCCCTGGTCCTCAGTCCCTGCTGCTGCCCTCCGCCCACTGGCCCTCACCGCCCGCCCGTCCCTGGCTCCCAGCAGCCAGTCACGGACGCCGTCACTGACAGTCAGGAGAGCAAGGGATGGGAACCTAAACCCAGGTGTAGCTCAAGCTACCTTTTAGTTTCCAGTCACATCCAAAGGGGTATCGGCAGAACCTCTAACAGCTGACACAGTGACCCACAAACCCTGAGAGCCACCCTTTATCTAAACTTATCGGTCCTTTTTCAGGAGGAACACTTTAACAAGCATCAATCGTTCTGTATTATGAATGGGTGGAAACCTTAAAACCAATCACAAGCCGGTTTATGCATAACCTGACAGGCCTGCTGGTGTCACTGGCTGGGCAGTGGAGGCCTCTCCAGTGGCCGAGGACCCAGCACCGGCTGAGCCAGCAGCAGCGCTCGGTGAAAAGCTGATGCTCCCTGCTCTTCAGGTCCCAGGAGGTCACCCAAGGCTGGCGGCCTCCCCCACTGCCCACCCTGAGCAGGAGACAGTGACTCTCCGAACCCTAAGCCCAAGTCCTCTGTGTGTCGGGAAGCAGACCCCGGGTGTAAACGCTTACTCCCGCCACGTGGCCTCAATAGCGGCTCCCCGTCACCAAACCCAGGGCCAAAGACGTTGAAGCCAAATTCCTGAAGTGTCTCCAGCAGTTTCCAACAGCAGAAAGCAAAATCAGCCTGGAAAGTAGGCGATGACGCGGACTCGCCCCATGAGACCCAACGCCAATCCAAGACGCCTTTCGTTACTGTGCGCGCCTCCTGGCAGGAACCCTACGTCATCTGGGAGAAGCTCTCACCAGTTTTCTTTTCAAAGAAAAAAACTAATTTCGGCATTTTCATACCACTTCTTTGTTTTTTATTTAAAATAGGTAACGAGTTGACATACGGGTAACACTGTTTACATTCCAGTGGCGCATGTTGGGGGACGGGCACGGATGATTAAACCCACGACGAGGAGTTCAGCATTCCCTACGAATCGCCCCACTCCGTTCGTCTAGCGGAGGGGGCGGATGGCACGCGGGGAAGGGGCGGGGAGGGGGGAGAAGTGGACGCCAACCTTACCGAGGCTGCCAGGTGCAAGGGCCCACCGACCCGGAGACCGCGATGAGGACGCAGATGTCACACCCAGGGAGACAGCTACTGCAGTTTAACTGTACCATTCGGCTATGAGATTAACAGCTTCTCAAAAATATACCAAATATTGGGCCTACAAAAGTAATTTATTTCTTCGTAAAATTTACTAAGATTTATTCCTTTTGTAAAATGTAAAGAATGGACTGATCACGAGCAGGTTTCTACTTACAAAAACAGACAGTAATAACGCTGACAAGCACGCCTAACAGTCTTCCAGGCTACACGGCGCGGAAGGGTTGACACGTGTCTCTAACCGATGCAGGGTCTGTATCTTACACTTACTGGTATTTCGCTATAAAGTATTCAGCGCACACTCCTAAGTCACACTCAGGGAAGATCTAACAGTAAGGGCAACAGCTTACTTGGGAAAGCATAGAAAATCAGTGTGAGGTAGTTCAATAAAACCTAGCTCAATTTTAAGTTGTTGTGAGAGCAGAACATTGTGCAATGCTAATCCACAGGTAATATTTTCCAGAAGTTTCTGTAATGCAGAGAGCCTAAATCAGAAATGGCTAGAAAGTGTGACTCCTACTGCACTCTCCTGAGGAGCGCTTCACTAAGACAGGACTTTGATTTTTATTGAGACAAAAGCCTTGTTCTGCAATTCAGGCTGGCCTAGAACTTGCAGCAGTCCTCCTGCCTCAGCCTCCCGAGTGCTGGGATTACAGGCCAGCACAGGCGTGCGCCACCACGCCCGGCCTAGCAGTCACTGTGAAATTCATTAGGACTCGCCTTTTCCAATCTTACCCCAAACTACACATTTCACCTCAATGCCCTTTACCTTTTATCTTTCCCGATACTTGTTAAGAACAGATGAGTTTCCTCGGATGCAGGAAGAAGCTGAGGGATCGGCTGAAATGCCACACACTGCGCAGGGGCCAGACCCCAGGGGGCTGCCAGTGCTGGAAGGTGGTGCTCATTTGCTGCCTACTGGTGTGGGGACCTCGCTGGGGTCACGGGGCGTCATGCATCCACTCTACAGCTAACGTGCGACTAACGGACAACACACACACACACGAACTACCACAGTGCACTCCAGAAGAGGCTGTTTGTACCCCCGTGTTCTGCAGGCCAATGGCCGGACAGCCAGGTCTTCCCTTGGTGGCAGGCTGAGCCCCGGGAGCAGCTCTGCATGCCCCCTGCGGATTCCCTGTCTGACACTGGTGTCCTCCTTGCCGTCATCTGTGTGGACAGCACGGCGAGATCAGCAGGGAACAGAGCAACACCAAGGCTTCTGAGGGACGGCCGCTCTGCACGCCACCGACAGCTCCATACTGGCCCACGGGTGCACCCCGCAAGGTCCTCCTAGAGAGCCGCACTCCCGCCTCCGCTGGGAACGCACCGAGCGGCCTGCAGCTGAAGGCACGGTTCGGCGGGCAGCAGAAAGGAGCCAGCTGCTCTGCTTCTGTGCACTCCTGTCGGGCGCCCCCAACAGCACGACTCTGCTCCAAGCAGGTCAGAGAACCGTCACCAGGAAACAGGAGGCTCAGGGCCACTTTCCTAACAACAACGGGGAGTGGCCAATCTCGGGAACTTGCTGCCTGCCACTAGACAGTGGGAATGTCCACTGAGTGCACTGACAAGCCAGAATCAGAGGAGAAGTGGCTCAACACAAGTTATTTTCTGACATAAATACCTGTAATTAAAAAAATGTTTAAGATGCTTTAAGATTCTAAAAAAAAACCCAATGCCTGCTCAGCTTAACAGACTTACGAGGGCAAGCTGCACGTACAGAGTACTGTAAAAATCTAGGCAAGCAACATTTAAAAGACAGACTTTGCTTTTAGGATGTAATGTGCCTGGGATTCCACAGTAAGTACTAAGGGCGTTTCCTTGGAATTCGGCTGAGACGTGACAAGCGGCAAGTGGGAGCTGGCATTTACAGTCAACACGCCGGGTTTCCCGCGCTGTGCTGGCAGAGATGGCTTCTTAGCAACCAAACCAGAACCCCTTCTGAAAGCACGTCAGCTGTTAGTGTGCAACAGTGACACAGCCTACCCTTGAGAAAATAAAGCACATTCACTGTGAAACCAATACCAACGAAGACACACTCATGCTACAAGTTGGCTAAAACCATGCGTTCAATCCCATTTACACAACTCGAGGTGTTAAGAGTGTCAAGATGCTAATTTCCCTAATAAAATAAATGCACCATGTTGTGTGAGTAGAAAGGGATTGATGTACAGGCTGGGAGGCTGGAAACCATCACTCAAACCATCAGAAGCACACCTGCTATTTCAAAGTCTGTAAAAAAGGCTAACGTATTGTGTAGTCTTCCATGTGGCACACTGACAAGGACCAAAGGACTCAGAGGCAGCCTTTCCTTAACTGCACCCTAAAATGCCAAGCCACTCGCAGGCACCTGTCGCACTGCTCTTGCTCCCGCTGAGAACCCACCACTGCGTCAGCATGCACTTCCCAGTCCACTGCACAAAACCCCACGGTCCTGGGGCCACTACGGCACTGTGTTTCACAAACAATGAGCCAGCAAAGACACTTTACTCAGGAGACGGTCAGCTGCAGAGAAGCAGCTCTGCAGATACGCAATGTAAACAGGTAACACACTGTCAGCAGCAGCACCCTTCTGACACTGCCAATCCACATGCACAGCGCAGCTCACGCCGGAATCAGACTCAAACTAAATCACCACCACTGTGCCCACTCTGCTCAGCTCGGATGAACAGTCCTCAGAAAACGATCCCTACATATGGCTGTGTGTACTGTTTCAGATGAACGGGAGGCATATTGCTCATTGATACGTCACCTACGCAACCCTAGGGGGCTCCGGAACCCCTGACAGCTACTATGTGTAAGTGATCAGGCTACAGGTAGAGTAAAATGGCCAGAAGCACCACGAGAACTGGTGCTTAACTGAGTGACCTCCAAGAAACAGGAAACCAGAAGGTCCAAGGGCCGTAGGCTGCAGGCAAGGGAAAGACCGGACTCTATACCACTGCCAAGACCTACAGCCTGAGACTAACTCAGTGTGTACAAAAACAGGCTCATAGCTAGGAAGTGAACCGTCTGTTTATTTGCATTGAAATGTGTTATTCATGAAGTATCCTCTTGACTTTTATGTAATAATAAACTTGAGCATGCCACAAATCTGCAACATACACCGTGAGCCGGGACTTGCCTTCTGGTGGGCGGGTGGAGCCTGAGGAGGTGGTGCTGGTGCATGCCCAGGGGCTTCCCAGACACGCTCTGCACTGTGCTGCCTGCCGTCAGATGGCGGGCGGGCGCTGCTCAACTCAGGCAGGTCGCCTCCCTGTTCCTGTTACTAAGCTAGGGCCGGCAAGTAGCAAACACTGGAGGCCTCCCGACACGTTCATCAAAACAGTAGTGATTCCTGCATCTAACTGGCTACAGGTTATTTTCCCACACTCCTCTGGGTTAGTTCATTGATAAGCACATAACCCTGAAGGATAGCATCATGAACAAAACATCTGAAATAAACTCTAATAAAAAAACTATAAAAATCTTAAATAATTCATGATATAGGCAAGTCACCACATAATAGTTGTTTTGATAAACAAAATCTTACAAATTCAGTAAAAAAAATCAGCAGCATAAGGTAAAGCAAATATGCAAAAAATTTAAATCAAGATAAAATAATTAGGTTTACATTATACAGTTAATTACAGCAAAAAATACAATACAGTTTCGTTGCTGTTGTAAAACACAACTTAGGTTTTAAATTACATCACTTAAAATTAAAAAAAATAAACTACTTTACTACAAAATGAATTCTACAGTTTTTGAAAAATCACTCAAAAATAAGACCACTGAATTGTTCTCTAGCCGCCCCCCTCCCACCCCAGGCCCGAGTGGTCATCTGCAGCAGCCCAGAGGGCCGGCCGACGCCTCGAGACTGCTGTCGGTGTCCGAGGCCAAAGTCGGATCTGTGGACATCGAAGACACATCATTGACAGACGACGATGACGATGGATGCTGAGAGCCACTGGTCACTGCTGCACCTGTGCTATGAGAAACAGAACAGCAAGTCAGCTGCGGAGAGTCCCGGGCCGCGGGCCTGCGCCGTCCTGCCCCTCCGCAGTCACAGGGGTGGCTCTCTGGGGGCTCCCAACGACATCTGCAAGGACACTCACTCACCGGCACTGCCCAGGCAGCCGAGATGAGAACCTGAACATGTCCTGACCCCTGGAGTCCTGTCCTTGCCGGGGCCTTGTTTCTGAACTTAACAAGTTGAGCGTGGACGCCCGGTCACACCTGGATAACTAGTCTACCAGAAGCCCCGCCGTGGCCTGGGTGCGTGCTGCGCTTTCTGTGGCGAAGCTTTCCCAGAACCCAGCGACTGGACACTGCCATGCCACTGACCTACAGGAAGTACTCAGTGTTTCTTCTCACGACACAGGACAAGTTCGGACAACACTCCTGGGACATCCCGTTGTCCAGAAGAGGCCAACACAAAGAATACAATCGTTTTCAGTGGGGGGGAGGACCCACGTTCACCTGCCCCAGTTCACATGCCCTCCTGTGACTTGCTGGGGTAATCAGTGCACGTAGCCTAGCTATGGAAAACAGGTTTACTTATGTCAAATCCAAAAAACACCCGATACACACAGACGCAGATTTACTAGCCAGGTAGAGACCGAGGGCAAAGCAGCACCCAGCAATCACTTCCCAGGCTGCAAACACAGGAACGCCTGGCCCCGCCTTTCAGGGCGCCCAGCTGGGAAGGGCTGGGGCGGGGAGGCCCGAGTGCGCATGTGAAGGCCCCAGGAACCAACCAACCAACCAAACAAGGGTCATTACCAATCTGAATGACATGACGCAAGTGTACAAAAGTTCTCAAGGACACATTTACGGCACAGAAAGAACAGCATCCAACCAAGCACCGAACGGAACTGCCAAGGGTGAGGCTTAGGCACCCTGCCCAACGGGCTGCAATCCGGCTCTGCGCCCCGGTGCCTGCGCCCTCATCCTGTCTAGGCAGAGACCAGGGGCCCTCGAGCCTTCAGGCACAGCGGTGGCTGGCGGGGGGGGGGGGGGGGCAGGAAAGACAGCTACCAGGGACAGAGCGGCTGCGCCGGGAGCTACAGCAGGGAAGCACGAGGAGGAGCACAGGAGCACGGAGGACCTGCAGAAGGGCCCAGCGGGGTGCCTGCGCTCTGCGGCTGGGCTTCAGCGACAGCACAGGACCCCCGCTAGCTAATGCGGTCTCTGCTGCCTCCCTGCGCAGCACACACGGCGGTCCTGCCACTAACTTTGGGCCAGAAATCTGCCACACGTGCCTCAGATACAGACCTCTTCTTCAGCACCTGTTTGCTTTACCAAAAATTTTAACCAGGTAAAAATGAACATTTAATATATTATAATGAGTCAACTTTTTAATCTGAAAATCTACCTACGAAAAAACAACCAACTGCATCCTCTAAGCTTGGAAGCAACTCACTGAATTCTTCAGTACATGGCAAGTGCTAGTGTAGACACTTTCCACCTCAGGAATCTGGGCCACTTCCTCCTTGGGCGAGTCCCCACATGCCCGTAGGCCAACTCACCTTACTGCCAAACTAAACCCCACACAGGGGTGACTGACCGGGAAAAGTGACCGTCGGAGATGGCCGCGCGGTTACCTGACACTTTAACAGACTGTTCTTTCCAGTTCTGCATGTAACCAAGAAATGAATATTTTTACAGGATTTTAACTAAAACTCTGCTTTTCAACCTAAAAGAGAATCCAGAATTCTGGAAACCTGAAGCTCTGTCCACAGACTTGACTTGTGACCGTAAGTATCATCTAGGATTCAAATCATTCACTTCCGAAGTAAGAAATACAATCCCTCTACTGCTGCCACGGGGTGGGTCCTGCACTCCCTCACACAGGTGACACACTCAGGACGTGTGCACTGCTCACAGGACGGCAGCCTGCCAGAGCAGGAACCTGGCCCACATCCCACCGCAGCCTCCAGGAAAAGCACCCCTTCCCACCCCCACACAGCAGCATGGACGGTACAGCCTTTTGTTACAGGGGAACTGCGAGGAAAGACCATTTCCAAAACCGCAAAGCCGTCAAAATCAATCGGTACTTTCAACAGGACCTGTATTATAGATTCGAAGACTGTGTTCCAGATCAAAGATTTAAAACAGAAAACGCTAATAAAATAAATTGAAAATGCCTAAGGAAGCCACCAAAATCCATCAAATGAGTATGTTTTTAACAGGAAAACATGGACATGTTAAACTATAGTTAAGACTTACCCAGGCTCAGTGGCACAAGCACCTTCTGGCAAGTATAAGGTCCTAACTTTGATTCCCGGTACAAAAAAAAAAAAAGCACCTTACCTATAAACAAAGTGCTAGGTATGATGTTCATTTTTTCTTAAAATATGGATGACTTTTAGAGGAATAAAATAGCATAGTTTTGCCCCAAATCATGACCTATCTCTTGAAATTCTGCTTGGCCTTCAAAGCTGCACCCTAATTTAATGTTTCTGTAAAACCGCCCTAACCTCCAGAGCAGTGGCACCGAGCCTTTGAGAGCTTCAATAACACAAACGGTCCACTGCGTCGGCGGGCCACTGCGCGAGAGCCACTGAGCTCTCCGCTGCCGGCCAGAGGGCCAGGAACGCCGGGGAGCCACACACGCGAGGTTGCTGTCTTGGTCTCCACAGATGGCCCTACGTCACCTTTCCTGCACCTCAGTATCTGGGTCTGGGGGAATAAAGTACAGAACCCCCAGCGTCTGTCCTGAGGCCGGTCCTCAACAAGCACGCGACACTGGCCACCTCGCTTTCCCCGCCGACCTGCACACTTTCACGGGCCCCAAGAGCAAACTAAGATGAGCTTGTGATATAAGAGAATGCTCCACTCCCGCAGACCAGTTTGCTTAGGGAATAACCACTTCCTACTGGTAGTTGTAACGTCACTGCCACAAATCAAATCGACTGAGGTGGGAAAGACTACCTTGTATCCTATGTATTACATTTTGCAGTGAAGTTTTTATTAGTCCAAAGTAAAAACTGCTAAAATCATAGTGAAGTGCAGAGGCTGCCAAAAAACAGATACACACTTGAGCATTTCCCACCCCTGGAGCAGCTCGTGTGAGTGAACCCGCTAAAGGTATCCTGTATTAATCTCATCATGTCTCAGTACGTAGTATTAAAATATTTATGTGACTTTTTCTTTTCCCCGATGTGTACTTTTTCTTTTCTTTCTTTTTTTTTTTTGTTCCCGGGATCGAACTCACCACCTCAAGCTCGCCAGGCAGGTGATCATATCGCTGAGCCACATCCCCGGCCCTACCTCTTCTTTTCTTTTTCACAGACTCTGTATACTGAATTTTGAGAAATTTCTTCTTTAAAGACAAGGCAGCAATGCTAGTGGAAAAGTTTTAAACTTCCGCCCTTCAGTGGAATGTGCGTATCAGCGAAAAGATCCCCATTTTATGCAGTCAGTTCCCACCACCTCGCTGCAGGCGCGCAGCTGGTAGCGCACTGAGGCTTTCAGATCTGAGCAGCCAGACTATAACCTGAGCACAAGCACCGTGGGTTCCAGGCACCCGTAAGCTGCAACCCCAATCACGCCAATGTGGTAACCAACCTAGAGGAGAGGGCTGCCCCCGGATAACTCCGTTCTTGGTTCTCTCCTCCAAGTCCATCACTTCCTTGTATATCAACTCTGAAAAAGAGATGGGCAAAAATCAGGTTTGCAAAGTCCGACAGCCACTCTTACAAGACACGCCTTATGCCAAACTCTTTATTAAACACACTCGGTACCTCCCGATATCGCCTTCCCATGCTTGGTGGTCCCCGCGTGTCAAGCTGAGATTCATGGGGGTCAATAACGATTCCTTGATCCTTAACCACAAGTTATACTGGAAGAAAGCAAATGCTCCTGAAGTTGACTTACGGCCAGCACTGGGCCTCAAAGCTGAAGAAGCTTTGTCTGCTTACACAGCAGACACCTGCGCGCGTCCACCCCAATGCACCACGGACGCCCCTTCATCCTGTCTCAGTCAGGCCTGAACCGTGGGTTGTCTGGTTCGCTTCCCCTCCCTGAGCCCTGGAGCACTGCAGGTGCGCAACCAGGCGTCTGCCACAAACATTTACTTCAGAGCCTGGGAGAGGTCGTGCATCGCAGTGGAACAGAAACAAAACTTGTAACAGAGGCGCGCAATTAGCTACGCTCCAGTCTGCCCGTGCAGCCAGCACCAGCGCTGTCATTGCCAGCACCTGGATTTGGTTCTCTGTGGCCTGAGGACCGTGGCGGGCCACACTGAGGACAGCTCTGACTGCGCAAAGTGCCGCCCCAAGGACGGCGAGCCTCGCGACCCTCAGGTCTCCCCCGAATGAATAACCTGTGGGGACCGCGACCTCACCCTTCCCCATCTCTGGTCACAGGGTCTTTGAGAATCACATAAAAGCAGTGAACTTCAACAAAAACACAGGAACCCAAAGCACTGCGTGGACTTTCAGTGTGCGCATGATTCCGGGAGCTGAACGTCTCACACAGACTTGCTGAGCACAGTCTGACAGCACCTCTGCTGGTCACTAGGTGACAGCGCATGGGTGTGCTGGAGCGAGCCGTCGGCCTGCTACGGTAACCCTGGCCCTCCGGGGCGGAAACACAAAGTCTGGCAGATGTTTACTTTTTCAAAGAACCAAAACAGAGGGAATGATAAATATTCTAGGTAAGATGATTTAAAACAAGAAAGAAAGAAAAAGTAACATCCCTCTGTGAACGGAGACAAAGACAGAAGAACCAAAACTAACAGCAGTGCCGACCGGGCGAACCCCTGCAGGCTCAGGTCTACTGTGGGCCGTGGGATGAGAACCGCCAGGGCAGTATTCCATGCCACTCTGTGCCCAAGCTACAGCCTTGGGGACGCGGTACACGCTCAGACATACTTGGCTTTCACATTGCCGTGTGCGGCAGCAACAGCCTGGGCCCACCTGAAAGGGGCCCCAAGAGGGAGCTGGATGGACTGAGACACAGGCCACAGCACAACACACACCAGCCACTAAACCCGGGAGGCAGCCAGGCGGCCCCGAGAGGCCCTCTGCAAGGTACACAACCGCATTAGCACAGCACATGGGAACAGTACACACAGTGTGCAGGGACTTGTGCTGATGCAAACACACCTGCAGAAACACAGACTGCGGAGAGGAAGGTCAGGGAACAGCCGCACTGCCCCACTTGGGAAGCGCTATCGGTCCTCCCCGATGTGCGCTGTCCCCTCAGCGTTTGAGCTGGCGGCCCACTGTGTTGCCTGGGCTGGCTCCAACTCACGAGCCTCCCACCTCAGTCTCCACATGAGCAGGCTACAGGTGTGCGACACTACACCAGCACAGAGACTAATTATGGAGACAGAAAACACAGCTGACGCAGGGGCACACAATCCTAGCTGCTCAGGAGGCCAGCGCAGGACTACCAAAAGACGGAGGCCGGTCGGGGCCACAGCGCAACATTCTGCTCCAAAATCCAACCTTGAAAAAAGGCCGGGCTGTTGCTCAGCGCCACAGCTCCTGTCTCACATGTGTGAGCGACTAGATTTAACCTCTAGGAAAAATAACGATGACGACAACAAAAATAAATTAAAAAGAAATGAATAAAATAACGCAGAAATATCATGAATTTCCCTAACATGAAGAACAAGGAACCCACAAAAGGCAGAAACTCTTGCAGTCCTCCAAGAAATCTGCAGTTACCTTTCCACTCTTCTATCGTGTGTTCCCTTTCATCTAGCTGCTTGTCAGGGATCTTTGGTGGTGGCTGAAAAACACGAGGGGTTGACAATTCGGTCAGTTTCCTGGAAGAGTATGTCAAGACTTACAAACACGCATCATTAAGCCAAGACGGATCAACGCTCAGCAAGTTCCTACACAGGCCAGTTCTGAAGACTCCTTCTATCGCTCAAAAGATAATGTTGACGTTTTTCCTTCCAACTTGTGAAGTTACTGTATTTTGTTTACTTCACAGAATTTTGCTATGCTGTGGGTCAAACAATTTGTTTTATAGCTAAGTCAGGACATCTTGCAGAGGTCTTTCCATCCCAGCCCCTCTAACCGGCTACCAAGGCAAGAGGGGACAGTGCAAGGCGGACAGGGCCCGGGCAGCACCTAGGCACACCTGGGGGCGGAGGTGCTCCTCTAGCAAAGGGAAAGGCACCACTATCGCAAGTCTGCGTTCGCATTTAAAATCAAAAGGGCCCTCCAAATTTCCTTCCGACCCTAAGAATGCAGCATGTCCTCCTAACGTTAGGAAAAGGACTCACGGCTTCCGCCTCGGAGGGGTCGTACCACACGTTGATGTAGGGGTGCTGGAGGGCCTCATCCACGGAGATCCTTTTAGACGCATCGATCACCAGCATCTTGGACAACAAATCCCTTGCCTGACTGGCTGCAAAAATAATGATGTTAAAGGACACACATTCATAGAGGGTCTCAAACACTATCAGCAATATTTAAGAACTCAATCATCGTTTATCTGTTTTATGTATCCATGCTTATGTTTTAAAAAGAACTGTTTGTAAACAATAAACACAGGTCACGTATATGATTAACAATATAAAATTAAAGGTAAATTCACTTTAAATGCCAAAACTTCACTTTGTCCAACTACTCAGAAATAATCGTGGCTTACAGCCTGTAACAACATACACGAAGCATTTCACATCTGCAAAAATTACCTTTCAGTTTGTTGTGCTCTGAGTCAGCCGGGAAAAGCACATCGGGGAAAAGCTTCTCAAAGCTGTAGCCAGCATATTTAGGCCTGTTTTCCACGTAAGTCCTTACTGTTGGCTGTAGTTTCTTCATGAACTCAGGACACGGTGTTCCAAGCTGTTCGATGACTTTATTCCACTGGTCAATATCTAACATCAAGTAGCTAAGAAAAATATTCTGGATCTAATGTTCAACACATCAGGCATATCCATATTAAACTTTAGGCGGACAGAAATGGTCAATAAATAAGCTTCACTAACCTTATTTATTGTGTGCATAACGTGTATATATGAATAATAATTTTACTATCAAATAGAAACCTAACCTCACAAATTCTGAATATAAATTATAAGTACCTCAAAGTCAAATTATCATTACTCCCACAGAGATCCTAGTCTGAACAGTATCTCACTCCAGCACACAAAACTTGCCCTTTCTCTACTGTATTAGTAAGAAAAAAATGTGGCTACATGTCCTACAGAATGAGAAATACTTTTATAACCTGTGTTGCTTTTGAAAGTTTTCTATACTAACATAACTAGTAGTAAAAAATGACTTGGATAAAATGGCATCTTCTTTTGCCATTTGCTTCTTTAGCTTAATAAAAAATTTCAAAGTTCTGAAATTTATAAAAATACTATTTCAGCAAGGTGTGAAGTCAGGATGTCCTGGTCTCACTCCTATCCTTACAGTCCAGGCTCTTGAGGACTCAGGCCAGAAGCCTCCCTGTGCCCCGTGGATACCTGCACGCTGCCTCCTACAGCAGTTCTAGATGGTACTTGCTGATAAATACACCACTTAACGTTAAGATAGTAGACAGGCGCTAACCCAAATCTAACCGTTACCATTCCAAGTGACTGCTGCTGAGATTTGCACATGAAACAGTCAGTTATGTTATGCTGGGTGATGGGATAACACTCAAGACACAAACACACGGACGTTAACGAGGAGGAGGCGGGAGGACAGCACAAGGAGGGCCAGCAGCCATAGGCGCTTCCGAGGCTCTTGCTGAGCCCCAGGACAGTCAAGTGTACGGCTGTTAGAAATCTTTAATGCAAGCCATGATCTTTTATTTAGGTTAAGTAAACCAGCTCAAAGCTAGCAAAAAAACTGTGGATAGTTACACTTGGGCACTTTTCACACATGAAACAGAAAGCAAAGTCTACGTCAAACTGTAGGTGGTATTTTGAAAGCGTAAATTAACAATACTTTACGTTAGGGAGTGACAAAATACATTACACCTGACCAAGTGGAAGTGCTGGCGTACATTTTGACCTTTAGAAACTACATTTTAGGCCAAAGACAAGGATACGATCTGTACCTGGGAACAAAACACCACCTTTGATCATTTCTCCCATGATGCACCCAACTGACCAAATGTCAACTGAAAACAAAATGCAATGACATTAACATAAAGATTTTGGCTAAAACAAAAAGAAAATATATAAACATTAAAAAAAAATCACGCACACCATGTATATTTTAAAACCATAAAAAGCGGTATAAATAAAGATGAGTGACAGTGCATGTGCTCTGACTAACAGCAGGGACTGTATGTCCTACTGCAGATGCAGCCTGCAAGTATTTCTGCCGTCTCAGCAACGTCTGAACCAGAACAGCTCCCACCTTCACATCTGTGTAGCAGCCTGTGTGTATGGTGTGGCATACTGCTTTCATCAGAGACAGGAGCTCACAACCACCTCACTAACCGATCTGCTGCAACAGCACAAGGATACAGTCCCTTCCTGGAAAGAGGATTTTGTGGCAAACCATTTCTCCCATAATGCACCCCACAGACCATAAATCCACTATATGTTTGCAGCACAAAAGAAGGAAAAGCAAAGCAAAAGATCAGTAAAATCAAAGAAGCATAATATGGCTACATTATATAAACAGTGTACAACATCACAAAATGAAAAAAGTGATTTTAATTTCTGCTAATGGAATAATTTAAAACAAAGTATTTTTGAAAAGCTCTTGTTCATAAAAGAAAATGTAAAGTGTGGCATTTAATTACATATCTAATTTTAAAGTGAGAGTTATGCACAGAAGTTGCATAAAATAAAAAACATTTCACAAGTGAGAATTTATAAAACACGAACGAGAACCAAACTCAAGCTTCATTAAAAAAAGTGTATGTATGGTCGTAGAATTATAAAAGTAAAACGTACTGTTCTGAAGCTCAGCTGTGCATTATACTCTCTCTTTAAGTTAAATAAAAGAAAAAAGCATGAGCAGAAATAGACCAGCACATTAAAATACTTAAGAGAAACAATGTGGCTACAGCAGTTACCAGGGGCAGGGGAAGCGAGCTTCTGGGAGACCTTCCCAGCGGACCCCGCCCGGCCTGAGTGCTCCATCTGTGCTGCGGTCAGTGACTGTCTCGGCAGCATCAGTCTACATTCCCCCCAACACCAAGTGCACTGGGAATGAAGGGGCGCCTTATGAAAACCCAGGAGCGGGGGCACTCAGTAATCAAAGAGGGGACAAATAGGGTGATTTAAAGGAAAAGGGACAGAAACTTGGGTCTGGGGCTTCGGTTTCTTTCTGTTTTCTTTCTGTGGTCCTGGGGATCAAACTCCTCACCTCACCCACCTCAGGTTTCTTTAGGGAGGAGCAAGGGCAGGGCTGGCTGGTAAGGAGCTACGCCCCTACCAGGCTGGAGCACGCTAGGGTGGTAACTGGGTCACCTTGCCAAGGTTGAAGCTTAACTCAGAGACCCAGCAGGGAGCCAGGGCCCTTACAGTGTGAACATCCTCATCCCGTGCAGAGGAAGGCAGGGAGACCTTGAGCTCCCCCAGGCCCTGCAGCAGGAGGGCCCGTGTGCACCGTAGGGGAGGAAGAGGTTTGCTTCTCCCCAGCTTCTGCTCTGGGGCTTTGCTGTCTTCTGCTGCCCTGGCACCATGCCGCGCTGCCTTGGAGCCGGCTGGTCGTGGACGGAAGCCTCCACACACTGAGCTGAACAAGCCTTTCCTTCCTCCATTTTGGGTGTCGAGTACTTTGTCTCAGCCACAAGAGAAGAGTAATCAAGGAAAGATTTGGGAAACTGAAGCCTGCATTTATAGTCCACTCCATCCTGAAAGGGGAACACCACTTCACGACACACTGGGTGCAAGTTTTGGAAATCCCAAGGAAATGAAGCTGCCTTCAAATGTAAACCATTTTGCCAGGCGTGGTGGTTCACGCCTGTTATCCCAGCACTCGGGAGGCTGAGGCAAGAGGATCCTTGCAAGTTCGAGACCAGCCTGGGCTATAAAGTGAGCTCAAGGCCGGCCTGAACTGCATATAGGGACCCTGCCTCAAAAAGACCAAAAAAAAAAAAGGAAACCATTTTATATTTATAGTATGATAACTTTCAAGGATGAAATTTTAGAGGGAAAGTTAATATTCGTAAGTAAGTTAACATTCATAAATAATATTCATAAATAATATTCATAAATAAGAGAATAATCTCCTTCAGTTTTCCTTTTTGGTAAACATCTATTAGTTGTAAGTTTACTTTTGTTTTTGTTTTTTTATAAATTGCATAGAAAATAGCAGACTAGCCAAGACATACCTTATGCCAGAAATCCTAAGAAAAACATAGTTTTAAATGAGATCTTGAAAGCTACAGATACGAGGAAAGATCTTTTCTGGATCAGGGAAGACTTCCTTGGACCTTAAGTTTGATTCATACACAAACTTAGGTTTAAAAGCACTTACTAATGGTGGCTTAAAATATACTCAACTCTTCCTGCATTTCTCAAAATGATCAGAAGTAGCCTGTGGTAAAAAAGAAAAACCAATCTGCTGCTCCAGCTGTGCGGGTGTCACTAAAGGGGAGCACTGGCAGGACCCTGCCAGCTAGCGTGTCTAGCATGAGCTCATGGGCTGTGGGTCAGACCCCTGGGGAAAGGGGGACGCAGTGTGAAGATCACATAATTCTTATCAGTGACAGGGCAGGACGCCAGCCGCGTGCGTGTGCCGGGTTTTCTTGGTGCTGACCTCTCGTAGGGAGCTGACCCCGGACCACGTTTATAGGACCCTGACCCTTCATGCAGTACCGTCATCCCCAGAAATGACAAGGTCAGCTTTGTGCTGGCCACTTGTGTCAGCACTCAAGGGACTTTCAAATTTAGGTGGAGACTAGAGAAGAGTGGGAGAGCATTCAAGCAAGAAGCAGATGCTGACCGTTCTCCTTGTAGCCCATGCCCAGGATGACCTCGGGCGCTCGGTAGTAGCGCGTCACTACGTAGGGCGTCATCATGAAGCTCGTGCCTGCAGTCCGAGCCAGCCCGAAGTCGAGGATCTTCAAAGTGCAGTCCGATTTTACCACTATATTACTGGGCTTTAAGTCCTTCAAAAAACAAAAGTAAAAGATTGCTGAGACATGTGTTTTGTAGCTCACAACTTATCCTGTCATGCTTTTTCACTATAGTAGCAGGGTAAAGATTCATCATAAACAGGCAAGCCTGAGAAATGTCGTTCTAAAAACACACAGACACAGTTACTAGAAAAGTCAGTCGCTGGGCGTGGTGGCATTTGCCTGGAATCCCGAGGCTGAGGCAGCAGGACTGAGGCAAGTCTGAGGCCAGGCTGGGCTACATACTGGACTCAAAGCTACCGATTTACACGGTGAGACCCTGTCTAAAAACAAACCAAAAAAAAAGTCAGTAGTGTTTTATTTCCTATAAACTACCACTAGCTAGAAATTTCTGATCAAATAGATCAGAGTAAAAGAGACCTGGGAAGGTATCTTAAGCTCAAATAAGAAACGCTATGATAAAACAGAGTCATAAGTTAGCATTTATTTGCACACCAAATGACCAGTATTTTAAAATTTGGTTTTAAATTCACAATATGTTTTACACACACATTACGAATGAAAAATGGGCCATCCACCCATCATGGCACACATTAGACGACCTTTTACACAGGCAGACACTCAGCTCCAAAGGACCAAGTAGTCATTGTCAATCTTTCCATTTTTGACTCCCCACATGAAATTTCAAAGAACTGCTCATAAGCTTTTCGTTTGCCTGCAGAGGTGCAACACCGTGACCCTGGTTCCACTGGTCTATATAATGACCTGCTCTTGACACTCCTGAGTAATATTTTATGAAGAACTGTCCGCCTGACCCAAGGGGGAAGGGCTCTGCGTGCGCCCACTCCCGGGAAGGCAGCAGTATAACCTCCACGGCTTCGTGACTGTGCTGGCTGGTGAACTCTGCTGTGCACGAAGGCGAGAGAAAGCCCAGCGCATCACCTGCACGGCCGAGCAGCACACACATCAGCACAAAAGGGAAAAGCTGGCCTGAAGCACGGGAGTTACTCTTGCAATGTCCACATCCAGAAAAGCATGTGTGACATCCTTAACATATTTCAATAGTCAACCATGGGTAAGTTTAGAAGATACATATAATCCAGCAGTTCTACGAAATTAAGCATCAAACACTAACAAGCAGAGTGAAAGAGACAATAAAATTTTCCCTTATTCCTGTTCTGTGAACACAGTATTTTGAGACATAATATTCCACTAATGTTTCCAGTGCAGCATCTCAGCAAAGCAACACTGCACGCTCAAGAACAAACGTTACAAGCCTTGACACTCCTGTAACGTCCGCTCACCGTGACTGCAGATCCTGGCTCTTTGTACTGGTGCATTTTAATTGGAAATAAGATCCCAACTTTAAACATTGTATTTTAGAAAATGAAGAGCCAACATAATTTTTTATAGAAATAAATTTCTTTTGCTAATAAAAAACTAGCAAAAAATGCCTCAGACATATGAAATTGTATTATATATAATCAATATATTTTCTACTGAACTAGTTACATAAGAAAATGTAATTTGGAGTTTTCACAAATTTGTGGCAGAGGGCACAAACATTCCATTTCTCCCCCACATTTTCCCAGTGTCAGTTAAGCAAAATCCTACAAGTGGGGGGTGGGGCACAGCGCTGGTGGCTGTTCCCTGCTTGGGCTCAGGAGAGCCCAGACAGTGACATGCAGGCAGCCTGAGCTGTGAAGCACCTGTCTCTTCCCCTGCTATGACCTGCACTGGGTGTGCAGCTAGGGAAACAAACCTCAGTCGTGTACGACCACCAGGAATGTGCAATTTCAGCCAAGCTCATGCATTCTAACCCAGGACTGATACTGTCAACATGGTCTTACTACGTGCTGAACAGCCTGAAAACCTGAAGTGTGAAGTGCTCCATAATCCAAATCCTTTTGAGTGCTGACGTGATACCCCCAAAATTTTGGATTTCAGACCATTTTTGATTTTCAGATTAGGGGTGTCCCACCAGTAAAGGCCATGCAAATATTTTCAAATGAGAAAACATTTGAGACCCGAACATCTGAATCACATCTGTCCCAAGCATTTCAGACAGCAGCTGTGTGGAGGGAAAGCTGACATCAGAGGAGGAAAAGTGATCCCAAGTACCAGCGGCGAAGCAGGAAACAGCTCCTGGAGCTGTCACCGCACAGCACACGGGAACGTGCCTGAGGCTCCAGAGCAGCAGTCGGTGACCGAAGGCCTGCCTGTCTGCGCAGGGAGCCGCGCACAGCGGGGGCCTTGCAGTGACCGCCCACTCCTAACCCGGACTTACGGGAACCGAGGGATGGAATACCTGGTTACTTTACTAAGAAAGTAATTCCAAAGCAACAGCGGATGGGGTGAATGTCGAACGTGGAGGAGAGAGCCACAACCAACTGTGCCCTCAAGACCTGCTGCAAGAGCAGAGGCTTTAGTTTATCACCCTAAACTTCAGGGCGGATCCAGGAATAAGAAGGCCTCCCAGCAAACGCCTGATGTACATGTCGCCATCCTGAGTCTTCCCACACCATCCGACCTAGACCAAGGTCACCACTGGAAACAGATCCTAGTACGTCTCTTACTAACTCAATCTCATTACATTAAGAAATTTCCTATAGTTGTACTTTATTTTTCATTAACGTATTCCAAAAAACAGAAGCAAATAACTTGCTAACTTCATCCAAGGCCAGCATTACTTTGACATCCGAAAAAATAAAAACTACAGACCTATATCACCACCGAACACCGAGGCCAAAATTCTCTGCAAACACTGGTGAAGCAATTTCAATCACATGTTAAAAGGATTATGTACCGTGACCACACATCACCCATCCCAGAAATGCAAGGGTATTTTAATATACAAAAATCACCTAGGCAAGGCAGCATAATTCCAGCTTGTAATTCCATCATTTGGGAGGCTGAGGCAGGAGGATCACCATGAGTTTGAGGTCCGCCTGAACTACATGTGAGTTCAAGGCCAGAATGAACTACATAGCAAAACTCTGTCTTAAAGCACAAAACAGCCCCTCCCCGAATCAAGCAATGCAATGTACCACATTTAATAATGAGCAAATGGAAAGAGAATGCAGTTGAGAAAGTCCAGCCACGTGCAGGCACACACATTGGTAATGCCAGAAACTCAGCAGGCTGAGCAGGAGGATTGCAAGTTCAAGCCCAGGCTGGGCAGCTTTGCAACTCGGCAAGATGCTGCCTCAAAATAAAAAATGAAAACATGATGGGATGTAGCTCAGCGTAGTCTCAGGGTTCAATCAACAGTACCAGAAAAACAGAAAAACTCAACTTTCTCTCATGACAAACATACTTCAGCTGGGAACAGCAAACGTAGTGAAGAATGGTCCCACTTGAGGCAAGGCCTGGCCTGTGTTCTCCTGTAAGGGGCGTGGCCCCTGAGCACCCTGCTTGGGAGGCTATCTCTGGCCACGGGACCGCTGACAGTGGGTCTGGGGGGGGCCTCTGGGGCTCGTCAATTCAACCTCACCAGAGAATGGAGACTAAAGCGTTAGCAGGCGCCTTGAGGGAGATGGGAATCTAAAGACCAACCAGGAAAGCAGTGTGACTGAGGCCAGATGAACCCTCTGCACACCAAAGCTCTGACGGTTTCCCTGCTGAGGCAGAGTCTGCACTGCACCCCGCCCCGTGGCTGGCAGTGCTCCTAAGGGCGGTGCTCTGCAGCTGGAGTGCTCTGTAGGCAGCCATGGTCCACAGCTGGAGTGCTCTGCAGGTGGCCCTGGTCCACAGCTGGAGTGCTCTGAGCACTGCCCTCCTGTCCCCGAGGAAGCTCCGCACGCCCTCATGAACGCTCCATGTCTGGACTTCTCCCACATTTTGCCTCGTAAGTTCCTCTCCTGTGTAAGTTCCAATTTGTACCCTTTCACTGCAGAACGATGAAGCACAGTGTTTCGGGGTCCTGTAATTCATTCTAATTAAAGACTGTGCCTTGAGGAGCTGGTCGGGACTGAACATGTAGCCAGCTGTCACACGGTAGGGTGAACCTGGGGACACCAGGCCCTGTGGCTGATGTGTTACTTATTAAGGGAGGACTGGTGAGATCTGCGTGCTCGGCTGTATAATGTGACGAACTCCAGTGAAAAGGGGAACTTTGGCAGCCCAGAAAAGCACATTTATGAAATCCTCATTGTGAATGCCACACTTTGTGGCTGCCACAGCCCAGCTATGGTTTTAGGGTCACATGCTAAAGCTTCGCTGCTAGCGTGGTACTGCTGAGACCTACCACCACCAGTAGTGCAGGGCAGTGAGGTCAGCGGGGCACCGCCCCGGCAGGAACCAAGGCTGGGCTGCAGCGAGCGAGCTCTCCGAAGAGCAGGCTGCTACAAAGCAAGGCCACCCCCAGGCCCAGGCCCAGGCCCCCCTGCACATGCCGGCTCCGCTTCTGTCTCTGCCACGTTATGACACAGTGGCCTTCATCGGAGGCCAGATGGAGACTGACTGTGGACTTTCAGCCTCTAAAACTGTAAGCTTCATAAACCTCTTCTCTTTATAAGTATGTGGCCTTGGGTATCTGGGTATAGAGCCAGAAAGCAGACGACTGCAACGGTAAAAATGGAAGGCTTTCCCTTGAAGATTAAAAAATAAGACGGATGTCAAACAAACAGACAGCCATGTTCACTACCTCTGGATTAACATTTTACTGGAAGTTCTAGCAGAGCAGTTAAGACTAAAAAAGGCATCCAACTGAACTGAAAGAAGTGAAAACTCAGGTGCAGAATCATACACAGAAACCACTAAAACTCGTCAGGAAGAGCTAAGAAACCTTGCAAAGTTGTGACACAAGCCAACACAGCAAATCAGTTGAGCTCCTACAAGCTGGCAGGATCGGAAAGGAAAGCAAGGACACAACTCCACGCACGATGACTCCTGGAGGAATCAAATGCTGGGAAATGAACTCAGGTGAGAGGTTGGGCCGCGACTGTGATCCCAGCACTCTGAGCATCTGAAACAGAAGGCTCACAAGATCGAGCCCAACCTAGGCAACTGAGGGAGAGCCTGTCTCAAAAGAAAAAAAAAGCTGGGGATTTCACTCAGTGCAAGAGCCCTATACAACAAACCTGTGAAACACTGCCAAAGGAAATGAGTAGGAGCATGATGCCAGGGACTGAACTGTGTCCCCTCAAAATTTTGATGGAGCTCCAAGTGCCCCTGCTGAATGTATGCAGCCACAGGATGCAGAGATAACCATGGTTAAAATAAGGCTGTAAGAGTGAGGTCCCTGTGCAGGTGGCTGGCACCCTCCCAGGAGACCCGAGGCCTGAAGAGAAACGAAAATATTGTGACACCTTGACCACAGAATTCTAGAATATGACAGAGGAAATTTCTGTGGTTTAGGCTACACAATCTGTATCATTTTACTATGGCAATCCAAGTAGACTGATACAACTTAAGAAAACAGAAAGAGAGCCTGTCTTCACAAACTGGATACTAAATATTGTTAAAATGACAAAGCTATCAAGTGATAAGCAGAGTCAATGGAATTCCCATTAAAATTCCAACAGTCTTTTCTGCAGAAACAGGAAAGCTAACCCTTAAACTCTCATTCAGTCACAAAGGGCCCCAAATGGTCAAAGCAATATTGAAAAAGAACCAAGCTGGACCATTCATGCTACTTTCCCATTTCAAGACTTCTATAAAAACTACAGCGATCAAGACAATGCAGACAATGCAGCACAGACACACAGACCAATGAAGCGACTGAACAGAGATAAAATGAGGCATCTATGGCCAAGTGCTTTTTTTTTTTTTTTTTTGTCTTTTTCCTTTTTATTGGTACGAAGGATCGAACTCACGACTGCCTCCTTGCAAGGCAGGCGCTTATGCGGCTGAGCTAAATCCCCAGCCCCGGCCAAGTGCTTTTTAACAAGATCATTCTTTTGAACAATCTCTGACAGACAGAGTGGGAACCGATGGATTTCTACAGATGAAGAACAAAGATGACCCCTTACCTTACACCACGCATAAACTAGAACTCACAATGGATCAGAGACTGAGATAAAACTGTAAGACTCTTATAAGAAAACAGAAGAGTTTAAGACCTTTAAATCGATGATGCATTCTTACATGTGACACTCAAAGCACACGCAGTAAGGAAAGCAGATTTCATAAAAATCAGAAACGTTCACATACTAACATATATCATCAAAAAGTAGACAACTTATGGAAGGACTACGGGTGGGGCAGTGATGCAAATATTCCAGATCTGATGCAGAGGGGAGCTGTGTCACAGTGGGGATGGCCTAAACCCTACTGGACTGTGGACTTTCAAACGGTCAATCTGTCATCGGAATGTCAGCTCCCGGTTAAAAAGAAGCATGTGGCGGTAGTTTTATCTACTGACCCGGTGAATAATCCCGGCAGAGTGAAGGTGCTTGATCCCACACAGCATCTGGTAGAGAAGGTAGGACATTCTTTCGTGGTCTAGTTCCATCTGAATCACTTGGCAGAGGTTGGCATCCATGAGCTCCATGACTATGTAACTTCATGGGTAGAAAGACAGCACAATCTCAGAATAACATACCAACGGCACTCTGTCCCACAATACTGTAATGACCACACTTACACATCTTGAAATTCTTCAAGGGATTTCTGTGGTGTGAAAACATTCAAAAGGCCAATTATCTGTGGTAAAGCAAAAAGACAGAAATTAGAAACAATACTTCATCTGGAAACGGCAAATACATGGTTTAGCACGTCACAAGAGGCTGTAATTGGAGTGTCTCACTGCTCGGCAGCCTGAGCCACAGTACATGCATGACTAGCCAATCAGGTGGCTTTCTACTGATTTTATTAGTAAAAGGCCAATAAAAGTGATTAGATCTGTCTGTACCACCAGTGGCACAAGCCACCCAATGGGACAGTTATGCAGTACTACTGGTAGTTCAAGCTGGGAGGAATGTGTTAAAAATTCACCATCAGTTCAATTCTTCCAATTTTTATTTACCTAATTTATTTATTTATGTCTTTTGAGACAGCAGTTCAGGCTGATCTTGAGCTCACTTTATAGTCCAGGCTGGTCTTGAACTTGCAATGATTCTCCTGCCTCAGCCTCCCGAGTACTGGGATTACAGGCATGTGCCACCATGTCCAGCAAATTTTATGTTTTATTTTACTTTTTTTTTGTACTGGGGATCAAATCACAACCTCCCACTTGCCAGGCAGGCGCTTATGCCACTGAGCATTAAATCCCCAGCCCCAAATTTTATGTTGTAACCTCAAGTAATCATTTTAATATATTAACACTTATGGCCAGGAATTAGGGAAGAGGAAGGAATCATTAGGAGAAGGTATATAAGAGCCTTAGGGCAGTGACTCCATTAAAAATACAAAGGTAGAATACACTGAACCCATAGAATATATCACACTGAGCGAACCGGGGAGGCCGGGGCACAGCTGAGAGGCAGGATGCTTGTGCAGCATGCAGAAGGCCTGGACTGATCCCCAGGACCACGAGGAAACAGTGGGGGAGAGCCGGGGAGAGAGACACACACACACACACACAGAGTGAGACACAGAAAAAGACAGGCATACAGAGTAGTTTCACTGCCATACTTGAGTTTAAAACCTAAAATCTGGGGCCAGGGATTTAGCTCAGTGGCATAAGCACCTGCCTGGCAAGCATGGGGACAGAACCTATGTTATTCACCTAATGCATTGAGTTCTGCTAATCGAAGATACTTCGGTGTCTATCCAATGAATACATTCAGAGAAGTAATATTCAGGGCAGAAGAGTACAACGGACTTGCTTGAGAGGGGAAACGACAGTAAGAAAGCAAGCAGCTGGCTGCTCTAACCTAATTCGAGTCTGCCCACCGGATGAACTGCACATCAGAGACCTGGACAAGTAATAAAACATTCTCTTCTCCCCGACACCTGGGAAATCCTAGAGGAGAAGAGAAAGACGCGATGAGCTCAGTGGCTGCTCAGAGCTGGACAGGTGGGGAAGAAGGGGAATGCCAGCTGGGACAGGAAGGGTCTTCCCGAGCACAGCCTGCAGAGACCGTGCCACACCGCAGGGAGCACACTAAACACCGCTGCACTGAGCACCTCACAGAGGTCAGCTACCTGCACTGCCCTGCACAGCCACTACACTACAAAAGGTCAGAGTAAAGCAGCTGTGCTATTTTTCAAAGGAGAAATAAAGGAAATTGTAACAGAGAGATCAGACAGTCAAGCAAAGTTGAGGGCTGCTTAGTGCGTGGCTATAATTAGTAGGAACCAATTCATTGAGAAGACATTTACACATTCCTTCCGTGGACAAGAACAACAGCAGCAACAGATTACAACAGGAAGACTTCACAAAGAGATTGGTGAAGACTGTCTCTAACAATAGCATCCATATACACTCAATGAAGAATTAGGGAGAAACGGGCAATTCTGATAGACACCCAGTTTTTGTAGTACGTTACAAGGTTCCTATGACTTGATTCAGCCTATGAAGGCATTTGAACAAAACTAGAAAGTGAAGCCAATAAATGAGAACTCAGACAGACAGAAGCACAATCTCCAGGACTCGAGGGCGGCGATGGGAACCTTTGAGAGCTTTTAGTGGCACAGCCCGCCGTGGCACAGGCGCTGCAGGCTCACCACTGCTAGGAAGATAACCAAATTTTTCCTTTGAAATCTTGATGGGAAAGAAAGAAGCCATACTTATTTAAAAAAAAAAACAAATGGGAAGCATGTGACCTGTCAGTAGGCTTTTGAGAAAAAATTATTAGTTAGACAATCTGATCAACTGATGCCGTGATTTCCAAATAAGATTTTAACGTCTGCAGTACAAGATGAGGACAGGCCCAGCTCCGACCAAAGGACTGCACCAGACATGTGGCCCTGTGTGCTAGGGGCCTTAATAAAGTACTTGCAGAGATAAATGACCAAGTTAAACTGAGAAACTCAAAATCATCCTTGAAAGGAGAGGGCAAACCCAGAGATAGTTAGGGCAACCACATATTATCTATGCAGAAGATGAAAACGTATAAAGGCCAAGACACACACTCATCTATCCGTCAGGAGCAGAAAAGCACAGTTAGCATGCCACCATGGCCGCACTGGGCTTTATGTTCACTGGCGGAGCACGCAGGCTGCAGCCTTGGCCGGGTGTCTCCTGCCGGAGGGCAGACGGAGCCAGCTCTCTCCACAGGCACACAGGCCAGGAGGAAGGAGGCAATGTGGCCCAAAGAAAAGCAAGGCAACACTGGCACAAGCTCCACAAGGCCAAGGGACCACGGGAGACCTTGGTGGTGACATCTCCAGCTCCAACCTGAAGAAGGGCGCCACGATTTGCCCACGTTCGTCACCGCCAGTGACTACCCTGACCATCTGCCTTTGGCCTTTTCTACGCATTTCTCTCTATACTTCCAGCACGGAAGATTTGTACTTTTAACTCTCAATGGGTGGTCAATTCTGTTATCTGCCGTTGGAAAGTACTGAGTAGTCAGTGGTTTCCATTAACTCATTTGGAGAAACACACAAGGTGTCTCTAGCCAGATGCTTCCACTTTAGTATTTTATAAAATTGTGCTTTGCACAAACTTCCTCCTAGTTTATTTCCTCTAAGCTAGAACCATCATGAATGTATCCGTATGCACAGTGTAAGTTTAAGAAGTAACACTGTTTATCCCCAAACGAGCCAGACACAGTGGCCTGGCCGTGCCTGCAGCCCCAGCACTCCATTCGCAAGGCTAAGTCCAGCCTGGGCAACGAGCGACTCCAGACTCTGCCTCCAAAAGAAGAGAAACGAGGAAGTGGGGTGAGGACAGGCGATTCTCACTCCACGTCCCGTACCACTGGAGTTCCAGTGTCAAAGTGAAAGGGAACAACTGGCCTTTGTGCTAAGGCTATAGATTTCTGGCAGGCCACCTCCAGGAAGAACAAAAAGCAGACGATGAGACCAGTCCTGAATCGGTGTGCTCCAAAACACCTTCTTAAAACTCTTTGTGGAACCTACATGTCAGGAAATTACACCATCTAAATTACAGAAGCTATTTTTCTTTTGATATTACTTAATAAGGTTAAGGAAAAGTTCACACTATGGAGATGTACGTGTGTGCTTATGCCTTGTAAATAACGTTTCAATCTGGAAGAACAACTTAAAGCCCTTATATTTAAAAAGTCTTTGCTATTCATGTATTCATGAATAAAAGTTGACCTGATACACACAAGAAATATAAACTATTCACTTACATTTTTGTGATTAACACATTTCATAAGAACCAGCTCTCGATAGGCCCGCTTGGCATGAGTCTGATTCTGAAAAGGCCGGCTTAGCTTCTTGATTGCAACATTTCTTTCCAGAATGGCATCATAAGCTGCACTGCAATAAGAAATCAAAAAAGAAAACCGAAAACATAAGCAAAAACCTGTAAAACAAAATTTATGAAGCACTCATGTACAACCTCTGGAACAAAAAAAAAAGTAAATAAACACTCACACAGACTCCTCATGTCCTCCAAAGGCAAACACGCCCAGGTCACTGTCCCACTGTGAGGCGCTACATCTGTCTTCTGTACTCACCACGGCACACTCACACAATGTGGAAAAACTCGCTTAAAACACTAGCGGATCCAGAGACAACAGAGCGCGAGGGCAGACACCTGTTTACTGGGCACTGTGCATCTTTGGGGCCCACCTTGCACACAGAGGGCACGAGCGCACACATGCTTCACATGTGTGTGTCTAGGTCCACTAGACAGCGTAAAGCCTAAAGCAACCCTTCCTCCACCCTACAGCAAAGGCAGGCACACAACGTGTGGCCAGGGATTCTACTCAAAATACCTGCCCAAGAACTCTGTACAAATAGGCTGCTTCCATCCTTTTGGACACAAAATGAATTTAGTACATACAGCAGTACGTCGATGAAATATTATTCTGTAATTAAACAAGAGCAAAGCCCTTAATATTTGCTTTGAAAGAGAACTAAACACATCAAGGTGCGCATAAACATGGATGTAGAGCCGAGGACGTCAGGAGCGGTGTCCTTGCTGGGACGCAGAGCCCTGCACTCACGTGGTGTCCTGCTTTCATGTCTTCCTCACCCCATAACACCCACCGCCACACGGCAGGGCTTTCACCACGACAGGGCACAGCAACGCAAGGCAAAATAAAGTGGCCTGCGTTTAGGTTTCTGAGTGTTATCACTGACACATTACAAAATCATTTGGGCTCACCACTTCCTAATATAGGGCCTGCAATTAAGCGATTTGCACAATCGCCGGACAGTGAGTGGAAAGCTGAGACAGGAGGACTCCGACACCAGGCTGGGCTGCTGTTCACAGGACACCACCCAGCACGCTGGAGGAGACAACTTGTGTGTGTGCGATACTTGAAGAGCCAGTTCCCTGCTGACCGATGTGACTTCCTTACCTAACTAAAAATCGGAATGTGTTTTGTAACTAACTACCTTATATCAAATATAGCATAAAACTACATGGATTAAGAAACTCGATACACTTTATGCATACTGTAACCACAGCATACAAATATATACACTCCAAAACGTACATAAATATGGCACTCCTCTTTTAAAATGCCATATTTACAGGTATGTCCTGTCCAAATTAAAACCAAACAAAACTACACTGGGTCACAGAAAATTATGGGAAATTTTGACTGTCTTCAGAAAACACAAGTTGTATTTTTTCATTGTTAAATTTACTTTTACTAATAGTTTATCTGACAAATCAAAGGACTCTTTCAAACTATATAGTTCAAAGCATCTGAGGAGATTCCACTATTTTATAACCATGGAAACAGGCTTCTAATTATTGACTTCCACATACACATATCAGAAACACCTGGGGACTCAAGGCCTGCTTCCAAGGCCACTGAAGTTTGCATCTATAGCTGAAGTCCAAAGTAATCTTTTTTGCCCCTCAATTCTTCAGTTATCATTATAGTAACATACCAGTGAATTTTACATTTAATATGTCTACTTTCAAATAATCGTTTAGGAGAATTAGTAAGTGAAAATTTGAAGGCATTTATTCCTTAGGACAGATACTGGTTAAGAGGATTTAAGGTCTTTTCCAAAGCAATGTGTTGTTCTTAATTCTGGTATATGGATTTCAAAATGCACTTCTGTGAGAATAAAAGAGCAGAAATATTAACACTTTTTAAATGTGTTTATAAATAGTATAACAATTCTCTTAACTACTCTGCAAATTAAGTAAGAAAACAGGCTCTGAAATATTAATCTATCAAGAATCGCAAAGCTCGTCAATTACAGATGAGGAATCTGAACGCAGAACACTTTCGCAATGCTAGTATTGAGTCCGTAACAGCGTTTTCCTTAATCTGTGGCTGGCTAACTGACCATATGTGACAGCTTAAGACGACAGTCAGAGTGTGCAGTGCACAAAATGACCCCAACTGCTAGACATGCGATACAAATGAAGCCTCTGCTGTTCTCAGAGCTAAGTAAAACCCTCAGTCTGATGTTCATGTATGTTTCGTCTTTTCAATGCATGGATTCACGCATATACTATGGTTTTACACACTTTAAACTACAGATAAATGGTGCAATGACTTGTGTACTTTGTCTTTAAACTCAATTCAACATTTCTTTTTTTTTTTTTTTTTTTTTGTCTTTTTCCTTTTTATCGGTACCGGGGATCGAACTCACGACCGCCTGCTTGCAAGGCAGGTGCTTATGCCGCTGAGCTACATCTCCAGCCCCAATTCAACATTTCTGATACCGTCCCTGGCTGATACAGATAGATAGCTCAGGTCATTTACATGCTGTACAGTACTTTACTGTATGACTACATCATAGTTTTTTATCCTCTGACTGATACACTGTACTCTCTTTCTGAGTTTTGCTACCATACACAATGGTGCAAAACACAGCCCTAAGGGTATCTGTGTGTGTGCAAGGGTAAGAGCTTCTCCAGAGCCTCGTGTAAGTGCTAGATCATACACAGCATCTATATTTTATCTATATTTTAAATAGATTTCAAAACAAATTTGGTTCAAGAAGAGGTAATAAAGATATAATTATGCCTGAGTGTGGTGCAGGATTCCCCCAAACACTAGCTTACTGTGCTAGCTCAGTGATTCTAAATCATTAGTACAACTATCCCAAGGAGTACTCTGCACTTCAGTTTGTAAAGAATTATGCTGATCTATAGAAGCCTGGACGTTCTGTAGCAATTAGCTTGTAAATCAATTTTAAAGATGTAGATGAGTTTTGAAACACATATGGTGAGATATTAGCTGACTTCATTCTCCAGTGTAAAATCAGATTTCTGAAATTCCAGAGTTTCAGTATAATGTGAAAGTGATGATTAAGTGAGGCTTCTTAGTAAATAATTCGTAAGGGATCAGATGCACACACGGAATTAACACGCATGCCAATTATGCCTTCCTACCACAACACGTCTCTAGACAGCACATAATCAAATGTTTAATCCTAGCTTACATTTAAAGACAGCAGTGCCAGGGTATAAAGTTAGGCTTTATGAATAATAATAAAAGACCACTAATTCAATTCCTAAAGAAAACGATTTACCAAGTTACAGCTTTCTTTTTTATAGTTTTAATTTTTTTTGAGACAAGTTATTTACCAAAGTATCTATATAATGAGATGAAAAAAGGCAGCAGTTAATCAATCTTTTCCTAAGAAGTAAAAACTTACCATACTATGCCTTGAGCTCCTGAGCCTATAGGTTTTAAATTCTGGTATCGTTTCAGGACTGTGAACGTAGAATCTCCAATTTCTACACTATAAAAATTGTTGTCACGCTTGCTTCTGCTCATGGTGGCAAGCAATTAATTTAATGGCTTCATCCAAAACTTCACCAAGTGTCTGCAAAATGGAATAAAACGTGATGTTAATTAAATGAACTTAAAATTTGAGTCCTTGTTTTCTATTTAGTAGTGTTAACACAGACTGCTAGGTCATGCTCAAAGAGTGCTTCATTAGAAAACACATTAAGAAAAAAGACCACAGAGCCTTGGTTAGCATATACCACGCCTGTGTACATGACTGACAGTTTCTTTTAAAACAAACTTTACTAGTATGAAGTTTCTCTAAATGTCACTAGTATTAACACACACATAACTTTAAGACTAATAGCACAAATAGAGCAAACAATTGAACAATTATAAACATGTTCTAAAAAATACCTCTGCAGTTTAAAACTTAAAATTGGTCCTGAAGACTCCTGAAACTTTTATTTTTGTGACAAACTGACAAACTTTCACTAAGAAATAATTAGTCTGAGCTAACATTGCCTGGAAGGGCAGGCTAGTGAACTGGTTAACACGCATCACCCCTGCCTAACACATGAGGTGCTTCCCTTGGACACTCTACCCGCTACGCCATCTGAGTGTCACTCACGGCCCGGGTCCAGAACGACTGAAAGCATGAGACACGGGGTAGAAACGTAGGATCAAGAAGTGTGTGTGTGTGTGTGTGTGTGTGTGTGTGTGTGTGTGTGTGTGAGAGACAGAGACAGAGACAGAGAGAGGAAAGAAGTGGAGAGGGAGCGAAAACAGAGGGAAGAGAAAGGGAGAGGGAGAAAGATTAGGTATATCAATATAAGAAACAAACAAACAAAAACCCACAAAAAATGCCATTCTAAAGTTTGGAACGTCAAAGTACCACCATCTGACCACAGTTCTGAAACTAAAGGTCAAGGCAGTCTTTTTCTACCTGTGAATACTGAACATTACAAAACCATCACTCCGTCTTTATGACATGAAAGCGTCTGTTCCAAAAGGCAAAGGCAGGTGTTGGGCCTCGAGGTGGACACTTGTAGTCCCAGCACTCGGGACCGCCTGAGCCCGGAAGACTGGGACCAGTTGGGACAACACAGTAAGATTCCCTCTCAAAACGAACAGAACACACAGAGACAGCTTTAACCTATCACTCCTCCATCCCATCACTATTAGTCAGGTATAAAGAATTGCTGGCTGTATGTGTACTTATAAGACAACGCCAACAACCACAAAAATCCTGTTAGGACTTACAGTGCAAGAATTAACTCACCAAATGTTAGTGCCTACCATGGGCAAGACACTGTGCTGTGTCACAAACTCCGGGGAGGGAGTGAATTCAAGCAGAGTGGAGAAAAGTCACTCAAAGACGGAGACCAAGAGGGACCATGGTGCAGCAGATGACCAGGACCTGGTATGTGGGGATCATCCTGCAGGGGCACAGGGGCAGGAGTGGGACAGGACAACCAGGGAGGCTACAATAATCTAAGTGAAAGGAATGGAATTATGCAGCTCTAATAGGGTTAAAAAACAAACAAAAAAGGTATTAATACAATAGAAACTGTTAAGGAATTAGATTTATATCGTTTAAAGAAAGTTCCAGAAAAATGCCACCAAATTAGTTACTGGGCGGATTAATGCCAGTCAGGAGAGGATGAAAAGACAAGCTTTACAAACCGCCAAAACGGGGGCAAGGTGGGCAGAGTAAAGGGAGGTCCGAGGCTGCTCAACATTAACTACACTCACAACGTGATCACAGAGGAGTCCGGCCCTGCTCACCAGTCTCCACCTAGCCTGGATCCCCCTTGCCGAGAGAACTAAGAAGAGGAAAGAGCAAGGCAGGCGGTGTTGGGGCCAGGGCTCTCATTCAACACTGGATGCACGCCCTCAGGGAGGCAGGGAGGGCTCTGGGGCTCTGCCAGTCCTACTGCTCTCCGCTCTCCGGCAGCTCACAGAGCTGATGCTGCCCGCGCCCCCCCCCCCCAAGGTAAACAGGGCCTCTGCTCCAGCTGTCCAGCTGCCTGCTGGAGGTCAGGGCTCCCCTGGGGTGCTGCACCGGAGCTGAGCTGACTGCAACTACGCAGGTACCAGACCTTGCTGGATGTCTCACAAAAAGTGGGCCAAGCCCAGGACAGTGCCCTCGGATTGGTGTCTCTCGCTGCTACAAGAGTAACGGCGACGAGGCCTCTCCGTATTCTCCACAAGGACGGCCCAGCAGGATGATGACTCCGCAGTCCTCACGAAGTGCCCACCACAGCCTTGGCGGGAGCACCCAGAGCACAGCTCTCCGCGGCTCAGCAGGGAGCGCAGCCAGGCCCTGAGGCAGAAAACCAGGGACAGGAGAGCAGGAGGCGGGACTCTCCCTTCTACTCAGTGGTGCGTGCTGAGGGCCAGCTGAGGAGGTACCAGCAGACAACGAGTAACACTACTAAACTGGCATCGGAACACACTCAGTGTCTGTCCTAGGCCTGCATGGCTGGTGCGGAACTCATGCTGGCTTAGGGACAGACTGATCTTTGAGCCATCGGCCAGGGCGCAGGCCAGTAAACAGCCTGTGGCATTCTGGTGCCTCAAGGCAAGAGCACAGGGAGCTGAGGACGCTGACCCCTGCAAATCCTGTCTAGCTCAGTAATCCAGCTAGTAGACAATCAGGTTAGCAGTTAACCATGATCTGTTCCCGGGTGATTTCATCGCCCCTCACTTCCTGAACCCGACTGTTTCCTGCAGCCCAGCAGCAAGCACGTCCCCTAATCAAGCCCTACTCCTGAGAAAAGCCAAATCCACCTGCCTTATGGTCTCAGCCTGCTGTTGGGCTTTGACCGTCTGGTGCTCCCCGTAACTAAAATACATGTTTTGTCCGTGCTTTATTCTGTCTTGGTACCTCTGAGCAGGTGACCTGTGGTCCTAGGCCTGGACCAACAGTGCAGTGCACACTGCGTATACCGGGCTCAAGCCCTGTGAGCACAGCAAAATCCACATCTAAGTCCTCAGCGTCTGCAGCTAAGGCAGAAAGAGACCTTAAGCTCATGACTCCCAGCCTGACTGTAACACGGGCCCAGCAGGCTGGGCTGGTCTGGACTCTGGAACAAACGGAATCCCCTGACAGCAAGGTATTTAAAGCAACATCTGAGCACAGACCAGGAGTTAACCAGGCAGGAGAGGGAGCTCTCTAGGCAGAAAAATGACACATGCGAAGGCTCTAAAACATGCATCGGCATGAACTTCACAGTCTGCTGAGTCACAATAAAGGTACACATCTGGTAACCGCACCAAAACCCAAATCACCATACAGAACATTTTCAGCAGCAAAAACGTTCTCTGCAGATAAATCTCTGCCCCACCTGCACTGGTAGTTGTTTCTTTTCTAGATCTACACGTTAGGGAAATCAGACACCGTTTAACTTTTGTTTAGCTTCTATGCTGTATCCTAACAGCTTGAGAGTTACGGAGTCTGCACTCCGTTTTAATACTAAGCAGTGTTCTAGGCTGTGATGTACTAGTTAGACATGTGTCTGGTTTCCAGCTTAGGTCACTGAGATCGATGGGTAAATACTTAGCAGAGAGACTGCTCAATCCTGTGGTTGTAAGGAAGTGCTAGGCTGTCTTCCAAAGTGCTGTTATGGTTTCTCATTCGCACCAGCAATGTATGAGTCGTAGCTGTCCACTTTCCAGTGGCTGTCCCTTAACTTTACAGTATATAGTGGCATTTTACTGTGTTTTACATTTGCTTTTCCTAGGAAGTAACAGAGCTGGGCATCTGTCTATGGGCTTAGATGTCACTCACGTATCTTCTGTTTGTTGTTGCTGAAGTAGTTATTCAATTTGTTTGCCTACTATAAACAAAGTTTTTCCATATTACTAAGTTACAATAATTCTTAATATATTCTAGATATACATTCTTTAACAAATATTTTACAAGGATTTTCTCCCATTTGTGGCTAGCATTCTATTTTTTTAAATGGTGCTTTTTGTAAGTTTTTGTTTTGAAATAATTTCAGACCTTCACACAAGTTGCAAAAACTAGTAGAGTTCCTGGGTACCCTTTCACCCACAGACAGCATCTGACATTTCATATAGGTTGATCATTCTGAGTAAATTCAAAATCTAAAATCAAAGCGTTATAAGCTAATTTAGTTTTTCAATTATAGTTTCTCAACCTGTACAATAATTTTGTATTATTTTATATAAAATATATTTTATTATAATATTATCCTTATAACTTTTGTATAATAATAACAATCAACACAGTACTTATTTCTCTCTACTTGGATTTGAGTTTTCTCAGCAATGTCTATGTTTCTGCCATACATATCATGTTCGTCTTCTCCGTGGGTACTTTTATTTTAGATGCTAAAATGAACATTTTAATTTAAAATTTCCAATTGTCCTTACTAGTACATACATACAATTAAATTTTCAACCATGATGTTATAGTACTAAGCTTAGTTATGCATCTTAGTTGATTTTTGCTGTTTTAGTGAGTTCTGTGAGCTTCTTCTATGCACACAGCAGTGTTATTTCTTTACTTCTAATTTGGGCACCTCTGAATTCCTTGACTGGCCCCACACCCCAGATATAATTTCTAAGCAACGGCAAACTGCAGTGCTAAGAGCAGAGCGTCATTCTCTTGTCATTCTCTTGTGCCTGACCGTAGGAAAAAAGCTGACAGGCTTCATTTTTAAGCACGACATACCACACTGCATTTCATCATATCTGAGTTCACTGAGAATTGCTTTTAATTATTCATGGGCATTGACATCTGTCAAATGATATTTTTTCTCAATGTACTGAGCTATTCGTATAGTTTTTCATTCTTGGCTGGGTCATATGATGGCATCAACTGATTTTCAATGACTGCATTCCTGGAATGAATCCGTAACTAGGAGGAAAAATAGTACCTTCTTATATGCTGACTTCAGCAGGGTGCAATTCTGGTTAAGGCTTTTCTACCTACTCTTCTGCGGGACACCCGCCTCCTAAAGTAACCTGGACAGTGTCCCCTCTGCTTTTCTTTTCTGAATAAAATAGTACACAACTGCTGTGATTTCGCCCTTAAAGTCTCACAGAATAGCTCAGTGAAGCATCGAG